AGGTGCTTTTGGTCGAGTTGGTGCTTTGGGGGCTGGGGCCGGAAGACTCCCAGGAGGAGGAACTGGAGTCGCACCAGGATTTGGAGGTGGAGTTGGAACAGTGGTGCACATTTTTAGGGCTATTAAAAGGGACAGTAAAGTTCAGGATTCACCTATCAAAGAATTTGTCAAAGAATGTACTATATCCCATATATATATATATATATATTATTCCTGGGATATTTCGAACAATTATTATAATAAAAAATGTGCACCGGTCATTTAGTGTTTAACTGAGTGTTTAATTGGATATTTTTTGTGCCATAGGTTATGGTCCAGGCTCAGCCAAAGCTCGCAAATATGGTGAGTCATTAATCAAAATAACAAAATAACAACCACCCATTTTCTTCTGTAGTGCTGAAAAATTTCTTTAACTTTCCAGGTCTGCCTGGCGGTGTAGGCACTGGTGCCTCTGGAGGCCTCGGAGCAGGAGGACCAGCAGGGGGAGCTGGAGTTGGCACAGGAGTCGGACCTGGCTCTGGGGTTGGTTTTGGTCCAGGTGGTGCCGGTACTGCTGCTGCTGGAGGAGCAGGAAGAGGAACTGGAGTTGGCACAGGCGGGGGACCTAGCTCTGGGGTTGGTTATGGCCCAGGTGGTGCCAGTACCGGGTCAGGTGGTCTAGGTTATGGTCCTGGCGGTGCAGGGACTGGTGCCGCTGGAGGGATTGGAGGAGGACCGGCAGCAGGAGCTGGAGTTGGCACGGGCGTGGGACCTGGCTCTGGGGTTGGTTATGGCCCAGGTGGTGCTGGGACTGGACCTGGAGGAGCGGGCTATGGGCCCGGCGGCACTGGGTCTGGCAGAGGTGGAGCAGGAACAGGACCTGGAGGTAATTATGAATCAGTAGATTAATGTGCCTTTCAGTTATGAATGAAGGTACACTTTTAAAAGTAGTTGCTTAAATTACACAATATGGTAATTTTACAGATTGCATTGCTTTAGCAAAAAGTAATGTATGATTAATATGTTTGTTTTCAAGGGTATGATGCCAATGCGAAAGCTCGTAAATATGGTAATTATCATTATATTATATAAATTAATTACATGCAACTTATTACTGTTTACTTGCATCTAATAAAGTACATTTAATAGCTTATAAAACATGGCTTTTTCTGCCTTTAGGAATGTTGAGTGGAGCACTTGGAGGTTCAGGAACAAGTCCTGGAGGAGTCAGGCCTGGTGGTGCTGGTACAGGCTATGGACCAGGAGGAGGAGTCAGGCCAGGTGGTGCTGGTACAGGCTATGGACCAGGAGGAGGAGTCGGGCCCGGTGGTGCTGGTACAGGCTATGGACCAGGAGGAGGAGTCGGGCCCGGTGGTGCTGGTACAGGCTATGGACCAGGAGGAGGAGTCGGGCCCGGTGGTGCTGGTACAGGCTATGGACCAGGAGGAGGAGTCGGGCCCGGTGGTGCTGGTACAGGCTATGGACCAGGAGGAGGAGTCGGGCCCGGTGGTGCTGGTACAGGCTATGGACCAGGAGGAGGAGTCGGGCCTGGTGGTGCTGGTACAGGCTATGGACCAGGAGGAGGAGTCGGGCCTGGTGGTGCTGGTACAGGCTATGGACCAGGAGGAGGAGTCAGGCCAGGTGGTGCTGGAACAGGCTATGGACCAGGAGGAGGAGTCGGGCCTGGTGGTGCTGGTACAGGCTATGGACCAGTAGGAGGAGTCAGGCCAGGTGGTGCTGGTACAGGCTATGGACCAGGTGGAGGAGTCGGGCCTGGTGGTGCTGGTACAGGCTATGGGCCAGGTGGAGTCGGGCCTGGTGGTGCTGGTACAGGCTACGGACCTGGTGGAACTGGATCAGGAGGAACAGGAACAGGACCTGGAGGTAATTATAAACTAGAAGTTTGATGGTTTTCGGGAAATGTGCCAATAGTTATGGCTTAAGAGACACTATCCAGTTAGTAGACAGAGCTCTATTGCGATAACAAATACAAATGTATAATAAGCCTTCTTTGTTTGTGTTAAGGATATGATGCCAATGCCAAAGCACGTAAATATGGTAATTATATTTATATTATTTTAATATAATTGAATGCAACTTTATTATTTTTGTATACTTTGAATATCAAGACTACTATATTGACTGTTTTCCCCATAGGCATGTTAAGTGGAGCACTTGGAGGTCCAGGAACACGTCCTGGAGGAGTTGGGCCTGGTGGTGCTGGAACAGGATATGGACCAGGTGGAGGAGTTGGGCCTGGTGGTGCTGGTACAGGCTATGGACCAGGTGGAGTTGGGACTGGTGGTGCTGGTACAGGCTATGGACCAGGAGGAGGAGTCGGGCCTGGTGGTGCTGGTACAGGCTATGGACCAGGTGGAGTTGGGACTGGTGGTGCTGGTACAGGCTATGGACCAGGAGGAGGAGTCGGGCCCGGTGGTGCTGGTACAGGCTATGGACCAGGAGGAGGAGTCGGGCCTGGTGGTGCTGGTACAGGCTATGGACCAGGTGGAGTTGGGACTGGTGGTGCTGGTACAGGCTATGGACCAGGTGTAGGAGTCGGGCCTGGTGGTGCTGGTACAGGTTACGGACCTGGTGGAACTGGATCAGGAGGAACAGGAACAGGACCTGGAGGTAATTATAAACTAGAAGTTTAATGGTTTTCGGAAAATGTGCCAATAGTTATGGCTTAAGAAACACTATCCAGTTAGTAGACAGAGCTCTATTGCATTAACAAATACACATGTTTAATAAGCCTTCTATGTTTGTGTTAAAGGATATGATGCCGATGCCAAAGCACGTAAATATGGTAATTATAGTCATATTATTTTAATATAATTGAATGAAACTATTATTTTGGTGTACTTGTTTTCCACAAAGAATATTATGACTACTATAATGACTGTTTTGCCCATAGGCATGTTAAGTGGAGCACTTGGAGGTCCAGCAACACTTCCTGGAGGAGTCAGGCCTGGTGGTGCTGGTACAGGCTATGGACCAGGAGGAGGAGTCGGGCCCGGTGGTGCTGGTACAGGCTATGGACCAGGAGGAGGAGTCGGGCCCGGTGGTGCTGGTACAGGCTATGGACCAGGAGGAGGAGTCGGGCCAGGTGGTGCTGGTACAGGCTATGGACCAGTAGGAGGAGTCGGGCCCGGTGGTGCTGGTACAGGCTATGGACCAGGAGGAGGAGTCGGGCCCGGTGGTGCTGGTACAGGCTATGGACCAGGAGGAGGAGTCGGGCCCGGTGGTGCTGGTACAGGCTATGGACCAGGAGGAGGAGTCAGGCCTGGTGGAGCTGGTACAGGCTATGGACCAGGAGGAGGAGTCGGGCCTGGTGGTGCTGGTACAGGCTATGGACCAGGAGGAGGAGTCGGGCCCGGTGGTGCTGGTACAGGCTATGGACCAGGAGGAGGAGTCAGGCCTGGTGGAGCTGGTACAGGCTATGGACCAGGAGGAGGAGTCGGGCCTGGTGGTGCTGGTACAGGCTATGGACCAAGCGGAGGAGTCGGGCCTGGTGGTGCTGGTACAGGCTATGGACCAGGAGGAGGAGTCGGGCCTGGTGGTGCTGGTATAGGCTACGGACCAGGAGGAGGAGTCGGGCCAGGTGGTGCTGGTACAGGTTACGGACCAGGTGGAACTGGATCAGGAGGAACAGGAACAGGACCTGGAGGTAATTATAAACTAGAAGTTTGATGGTTTTCGGAAAATGTGCCAATAGTTATGGCTTAGGAGACACTATCCAGTTAGTAGACAGAGCTCTATTGCATTAACAAATACACATGTTTAATAAGCCTTCTATGTTTGTGTTAAAGGATATGATGCCGATGCCAAAGCACGTAAATATGGTAATTATAGTCATATTATTTTAATATAATTCAAATCAACTCTATTATTTTTGTGTACTTGTTTTCCACAAAGAATATCATGACTACTTTAATGACTGTTTTGCCCATAGGCATGTTAAGTGGAGCACTTGGAGGTCCAGGAACACGTCCTGGAGGAGTTGGGCCTGGTGGTGCTGGTACAGGCTATGGACCAGGTGGAGGAGTTGGGCCTGGTGGTGCTGGTACAGGCTATGGACCAGGTGGAGGAGTCGGGCCTGGTGGTGCTGGTACAGGGTATGGACCAGGAGGAGTCAGGCCAGGTGGTGCTGGTACAGGCTATGGACCAGGAGGAGGAGTCGGGCCTGGTGGTGCTGGTACAGGCTATGGACCAGGAGGAGGAGTCGGGCCTGGTGGTGCTGGTACAGGCTATGGACCAGGAGGAGTTGGGCCTGGAGGTGCTGGTACAGGCTATGGACCAGGAGGTGGAGTCAGGCCTGGTGGTGCTGGTACAGGCTACGGACCAGGAGGAGTTGGGCCTGGAGGAGCTGGTACAGGCTATGGACCAGGAGGAGGAGTCAGGCCTGGAGGTGCTGGCTACGGACCTGGAGGTAGGAGGAAAAATAAAGATGTATTAAAATAAAAAGGCATGTCTGATTTCAAATAGAAGCTTTTAGACCAGTTGATACTGTTTTTATTATTCTTATTATATCTTGATGTGTCTACATGTTGTAGGTTATGCTGGTGCCAAAGCCAGAAAATATGGTAAGAATATACTTTTGTCTGCTCATCATCAACCAACCTTTAACCAGCAATAACATATCAATATATCTGCCATGAACACATCCTGTTGTTTGTCATTAGAGTGTTCATTTCGTCAGGTTGGTTCATATTTCCCGATATAATGCTGCTTTCTGCAGGAGGTGCTGGAGGTGCCCTGGGTGCAGGAGGACAGACCAAAAGGCCTGGTTATGGGCTCGGAGCAGGAGGAATGGTTCCAGGACGAGGTGTTGGAGTATCAACCGGTGGTGGACCTGGAGCAGGACTGGGACCAGGTGGCTTTGGACCAGGCAGTGCTGGAGGTATGAAGAGAAAAACAACATATTGGAAACAAATTCTACACTTCTTTCCCTTTTTGGAATTCTTTAGTTCATTTGATATCATCAATATCCTATTTTGAGACTACATGTTTTAAGTGCCATAATGACCCTCTATCGTCGGCTAATATAAAAACTCCCTTGGGCTTTCATGAAAAGGAACCGGATATGGACCTGGTGGATATGGGCCTGGAGTTGGACAAGTGCCTGGGGCAGGGTATGGACCAGGTGGAGGCTATGGTACAGGACCAGGAGTTGGATATGGACAAGGTTCCGTTTTTATTTTGTCCATGACAAATCTTGAAGAACTCAAATTAAGATGAGTTGTAACTTGCCTTTCTTTTTCCTGCAGGCTATGGAGCTGGATCAAAAGCCGCTAAATACGGTATTACAATTTTATTTTGTATTTCTCTAAAACAAGATGGATCAACATTTCTATAAAAACTAAAACATTTATTTATGATCCAGGTTTAGGTGTAGGTGCTGGCGGAGTTCTTGGAGGAGGTGCAGGCCGAGGAGGTGAGTTGTTTATGTTTGATAACGTTAAGCCCTGCAAGCCGAGAGCAATTCAAATGATTTTTTCAATGATAACCTCTTGATGGAATTTCTTTCACCAGATGAGTTTTATTGTGTCATTGTATAGTGGGTTATGAACAAGGAGACTAGTCTAGAACACATTAAAGTATGACATATTCCTTTATTGACCTCTATTGTAGCAAGGTGTCTTGAACCAAACATGAATTGTAAGTGAATCAAACAGTTTGTTGTGTCATGTCAAGAGTTAAAATAAATCACTGTGTTTTTTGTCACACGAGTAGTCAATATTTCATCAATTGTATTTGTTGTGATCATCAGGCTATGGAACAGTTGGATCAAAAGCTGCTAAGTACGGTAAGTTGACAAGACTCTGTTAAGTAAAACATTATGTGTATATTTTATAGATGTTTGAACTAAAGAATAGAGCTGTTTATAAGGACATCTTTTTAATTTACCATATTATCTATTATATAAACTGTAGCTCAACCTGGTGGAGTTGTACCGGGGGCAGGATCTGGGAATGGGACCGGCACGGCAGGATCTGGTACTCCAGGATCTGGTACTCCAGGATCTGGTACTCCAGGATCTGGTACTCCAGGATCTGGTACTCCAGGATCTGGTACCCCAGGATCTGGTACCCCAGGATCTGGTACTCCAGGATCTGGTACTCCAGGATCTGGTACCGCAGGATCTGGTACCGCAGGATCTGGTACCCCAGGATCTGGTACCCCAGGATCTGGTACCCCAGGATCTGGTACCCCAGGATCTGGTACCCCAGGATCTGGTACTCCAGGATCTGGGACAACAGGAGCTGGGACAACAGGAGCTGGGACAACAGGACCTGGTACTGCAGGACCTGGCACAGGGACCGGCACTGGTGTTTCAGTAAATGGCACTGACACAAGTAGTGGTGCAGGGACAGCAACTGGAACCAGTGGTAAGTCTTTGTGTTAAGGATTAAGTATATACATTCTGGTTACTCATGAACTATTTGGAATATCTAAGTGTGTTGAACTGTGTCTCCTGGATCAGGAGGAGGACTTGGAGCCACAGGAGGAACACCAGCTCCTGCATCAGAAGGTATTTGTTAAGTTTAGCAAAATGCAGCACGACACTGTAACACATTTTCGTCACATATTATCCCAATACATTTACTCATAGGGTTCCCAATGCATTTGTTATACTATAAAATATTCTTTATAAGAATGAAAAAGAGATAAATTGAGGTGAGGTTCCAGAGTATAAAAATAAATAATAGAAAATGTTACGCCTGTAAGGGAGGGGCAACTGAGTTTGATTCAATTTGTTTGGAAGGGGAGAGGGAGACCCCATCTTGTGTTCATCTAAGTGAACTCTCTAGTTAAAAGATTATGCCAGTCTTTGTTTGATTTATTCCGTTTACATTCACATCAAAAGCTCTTTTATATGCAGTACCATTTTTAAATCTCCCTGACCTTATTCCAGGTGATGGCGGCGCCGGCAGTGTGATAGAGGGGTCTGGAAGTTCTGGAGGAGAAGGTGTGTCTAAACTTGCTGGAAAACCTGTGTTTTCTTACCTTAAATTCACACATTTTGAGATTGTTAGACAACGAATATCACAACTGTAAAATTCAAGTATTTCGGTATAGAAAACTGATGGTTAAACAAGATGGCCAACAGACTACACAGGAAACACTGGAGAAAATAAAATCGAGAATACTAAATATGCAACTAATTCTTATTTATTTGCATTTATTCTTTCAGTGGCTGGCAGACCTGTGGGAGCAGGAGGTGATGGAGACGTCTTGGGTGGAACAGGAATCCCCATCATTGGAGCAAAACCAGGTATCTTGGTCATTTCAACTACAAATTCAAGAGAAAAAGTTAAGGTGTTCATTTATTCTGCTACTATTTGTTGTTGTCTTTCATCTTTTTTCTTAATGATTTTCTTGGAACAGGCCTCAATGGGACAGACGTTCCAGGTCAGTGTTTATTTTACAGCCAGAGTTTCTGCATGTTTGTCCGCAAACTAATTCTGTCAGAGTACATCTGTTAGTCAGCCAGACATCAAAATAACAGTGCATCTAGGCTTTTGTTTTGGATAGTGCCACCATGTGGACATTTCCAAACACTATATTTTAATTCAACTGGACTTTGAGGTTTAGTAGAAAACACATTCCCCACCAAGGATCCAGGAATACTTAAAAAAAAGCCCTGCCTACACAGACCTTTGGATCATTGCTGGACATTTTTGTTCTACATTGATGCCATTTACCATCTCTAACATTTAATGTTCTGTATATTTACAAGGCAAAATTAAAAGACCAATATATCCACACTATCCCAAATACTGCATGTAACATACAAGAGACCAACAAGTGTTTCTGCTTAATTTAAACTAGGAATGAACAAGGCTGATCCTTTTGTTTTCATATCCTACAGGTTCCACAGGAGCTGCTCCTGGTGAGTTGAAATAAAGTACACTCAATATGTTACTTATGAGATGTTAATCAAAATGGACTATTGCTTAATAACAGCACAGTATAAACAATCAATTGGCCTCACAAGATACAGTGGCATGTCACGCTATCACAAATCCTTTTCATCTTGATGCTGATCACAATATTTCTCCACCTGAATGATAATCTGTATTTCTATTATTTTAGTTGGAGGTGAGGCTGTGCAACCAAGTGGTACGCAAATCTGCATTACACTTCTAAAAATACTACAGTACTTCCAAAATATATACCAGATGTTGAAACTTGCACTTCCTGTATTGTTAATTGATTTAATTGTGTAGGTTCTGATGGGGATCTTTCAAGTGGGACACTGCCAGGAGCCAAACCTCTCAAACCCCCAGGTCAATAAAATGAAATCTAATTTATTTCAGGATAATTTATTTATCTATTACCCAACAGCATTTTGACAATGGTACAAAACAAAGCAACGTATTACATTACCTCTAATGAGTGCTATTCATAAGCCAAACAGACTTATTTTAAACTTTATATATACATGAACCTTGGTATTGTTTTTGTGTGGATTTTGTGAAAGCTAATAGGGATCAACATGAAGAATAAAAAACACTCACCAGGCCTCTTTGCTGTAATGATGTTTTTTATGTAATAGTTTAATACTTACTGAGTTGCTTTGTTCTTGATTGCAGTTTAACTTCTAGCTGAAATACAGGTGTGGTTTTCTATGCTCTATCTGCAGGTGTCCCCAGAGGTGACACGCCCGGTGAAGGAGATGGAGAGGGAGGTCCTGATGGAGAGAGAGGAGGTGCAGGAGGAACAGGAGGTGTTTCAGGTGGCTCAACAGGAACTGGAGTTGGACCAGGAGAAGCAGCCGGTGGAGTTGGGGGAACACCCAAACCATCAAAAGGTGACATTTTTGGCGTATGACTGTAAACACCACATTGACTGCATTACATTTGACACCTTTATACATCAATCTGTATCAAACGTCTATAACAATGACTCAGAGGTAGTAACTGAAAATGTTCATACTAAAGAAAAAAGTTAATTTTATCAGTTTATTTCTTAAATGTACAGAGGGACCTGATGGGACTGTAGCAGGAGGTGCAAGTGGTGGACCAGGTGGACCAGGTGGAGCAGGGGGGGTGACAGGAGGTCCTGGAGGAGTTGGAGGAGGTCCAGGCGGAGTTGGAGCAGGTCCTGGAGGAGTTGGAGGCCAAGGTGGTGTTGGAGGAGGTCCTGGAGGAGCAGGCTTGGTACCTGGGGCTGGTGGAGTAGGAACAGGAGCATTTAAACCTGGAAAAAGTGAGCAGCTGCCATGTTTTGATCTCTGAAATGTTTGTGACCCAAACATACATGCACATGTTACAATGATGCTCACACTGTATTCATTACAGGCTATGGTGCTGGTGGAGCTGGAGCTTTACCAGGTGGAGGTGAGTAAACCAACTCTATCATGGCATTTGTATTTGCAATGGATTATGTCATATTTGAAATACTCAAGCAAGTTCATCTTCTTTAAAAATGTAAGATTCAATGAATCATGGTGTATCTCTCTCAGGCTTACGTTACCCGACTGGATCTGCAGTAGGACAGGGAAAAGCTGGCAAAGGTTTGCTAAACTGTCAACTATATTCTTCCTGTTTTAATCAGTATCTGGGATTCGAAATAAGCTACATGATGCTTGTTATGTTTTTTCTTTCCATCAGTATATGGGACTCTCGGCGCGGGGCAGGGTAGGGTCGGTCCTGGCGGTTATGGAGCTGGTCCTGGAGGCTATGGTGCAGGACCCGGAGGCTATGGGGCTGTCCCAGGTGGATATGGTGCAGGACCTGGAGGCTATGGAGGAGGGGGCGTTGGTGGTGGAGGTCCAGGGGGTGCTGGGACCCTCGGAGTTGGAACTGGAGCTGGTGTTGGACCTGGGGGATATGGTGTGGGTCCTGTTGGTAAGTTGACCTAAATAGCACATCATTAACATATTGGTTAAAGGAATATTTGATCCCCAAAATTATCATTCATATATCAATTATTTACCTTGCCTTAAATTGTTGAAGAACACTTTTCTCACGAGCCTCCAAAGTGAACGAAGATTAAAAAACACTGAGAAAACAAAACCTTACTCTTAGAACACTACAATACGATCTCAAAAAATTTACAGTCTCTCTTTTGGTGAGCAATTGATATACAAAGTATCATGTTGGGGTTAAAGTATTTCCTTAACTTATCTTAACTTATCCTATCTGTTATTCAGTTTCTAGATACGGCACAGGTCCAGGACAGGGCACCGGCAAACCCTCAAAACGTAGGATATTATTTAACAGATATGCAGAGAACAAAGTCAAACATTTATACAGTGAACTGGAACTTAAACAATATTTGCTTGTAGGTTACGGGGCAGGAGCTGGTGGTTACGGGCCTGGTGGTTACGGGACTGGACCAGGTGGAGTTGGTCCTGGTGGTTCTGCTGGTTACGGTCCTGGTGGAACTGGACCAGGAGGATATGGGCCAAGCACAGCAGGGACCGGACCAGGTGGGGCCGGAACCAGGCCAGGCGGATTCGGTCCTGGCGGTGTTGGCACAGGAACAGGCAGCTATGGACCTGGAGGAGCCGGAGTAGTTCATGGCGTTTATACTGCTGGAGGTCAAGGACTAAGGAAAAGAAAGCCTGCCAAATCAGGTATAATAGTCATGAATTATGACACTTATAAATACTTTTTACTGAAATGGCATAGGTCATTACTGTATATTCATGCTGGTTACTTCTTCTGATAGGCTATGGATCATCCTCTCTGGGTGGAACAGGCTATGGACAAGGTGAGAAACACTTTAAAATGTGCAGTTTGTTTAGGGGTTATCTCTATGTCTGTATATCATAACTACCTCAATTATTAAAAATACAATCAGGACTAGGAACAAAGTTATTAAGAACAAAGAGTGCTACATGGATACTTTTGTTGTTCTGTGTACCAACTGTGTATTTTATCTTGACACATTCCTATATATCTAAATCTGTAGACTAATTCTAATTGAACATTGAGTTGGCAGACTAGAGCAGTACTTCTACCTTCTTTAAAGTAAAGCAAGGTAATTGCTTCTACTTATTATTATTAACAGACAAATACAACCATAGGAACACTTAATTTAAGCTGAATAGAACTAAAACACTCACCAACACTGTCAATATTAAGCCTTTCTGTTGCTCCAAAAATCAACAACTATATTTGAAATATGCCGGATCTACGGGCTGCTTATACTCGCTTTCTCCCTAATAATATAATACTAGCAGCTTTTAAGTAAAAAGCTCAACTATGCCTGTTTTTTAGGTGCAGGAGTTGGACCTGGCAGATATGGGCCTGGGGGAGTAGGACCAGGAGGCGCTGGTACAGGAACTGGAGGCTACGGACCAGGAGGCGCTGGCACAGGACCTGGAGGTTTCGGACCAGGAGGCGCTGGCACAGGACCTGGAGGCTACGGCCCAGGAGGCGCTGGCACAGGACCTGGAGGTTTCGGACCAGGAGGCGCTGGCACAGGACCTGGAGGTTACGGACCAGGAGGTGCTGGTACAGGACCTGGAGGTTTTGGACCAGGAGGCGCTGGCACAGGAACGGGAGGTTTCGGACCAGGAGGCGCTGGCACAGGAACGGGAGGTTTCGGACCAGGAGGCGCTGGCACAGGAACGGGAGGTTTCGGACCAGGAGGCGCTGGCACAGGAACGGGAGGTTTCGGACCAGGAGGTGCTGGTACAGGACCTGGAGGTTTCGGACCAGGAGGCGCTGGCACAGGAACGGGAGGTTACGGACCAGGAGGTGCTGGTACAGGACCTGGAGGTTTCGGACCAGGAGGCGCTGGCACAGGACCTGGAGGCTACGGACCAGGAGGCGCTGGCACAGGACCTGGAGGTTTCGGACCAGGAGGTGCTGGCACAGGACCTGGAGGCTACGGACCAGGAGGCCCACGTTACGGAAAAAGAAAACCTTCTAAATCTGGTAAGTATTGATAATACAAGTAACATACATTAAAGGTGATTCATAAACTTTGTACAGAAGGAGAAACTCGATATAGAATATAGAAGAGTAACTGATTCTCATCTGCTTTTTTCCAGGTTATGGGTATGGCGCAGGTGAGTTTAGGGTTATGATTAGGGATGATGATTTTATTTGATTCATAAAGTATTTAGATGTGCTGATATATTTGGATGTTTCCCAGCAGGACGATTAGGAGGCGGTATAGGTGCTGGTCCTGGAGGAGCTGGACCTGCAAGCTATGGCCCAGGAGGATATGGACCAGCTGGAACAGGGACAGGCAATTTGGGTTATGGGCCTGGAGGTGCTGGAACTGGGGGCGTTGGCCCAGGAGGTGCTGGAACTGGGGGCGTCGGCCCAGGAGGTGCTGGAACTGGGGGCGTCGGCCCAGGAGGTGCTGGAACTGGGCCTGGGGGTTTTAGACCTGGAGGAGCGGGTGGAATTGGACCTGGTGGCCAAGCACTTGGGAACAGGAAGCCTCCTAAATCAGGTTACGGCTCGTCGTTGGGAGGAAGCCGCTATGGACCAGGTAAAGTTCTCAACGGATGCACATATTTCATTAAAATGACTGATACAATTTCTTTACGCTACTGGATATTTACCAGAACAAAGAATTACAATACACTTTAAGCCTTATCCACATGATAAAACTTGACTGTAAACATCTTCTGTCTCCATCTTTGTTCTATGTTTATTTATTAGTTGCCTTATTTTCATCTTTACTCTGCTTAATGATCATACATCTATCTAATATTTACTCTAATTGTTGCAGTTCTAATGCTGTGTGTTATCTTCTGCTTTTTGACTGACTTTGCATTTATACTCACGTGTGTCCAGGTAGTGCAGCAGGAGGAGCAGGAGGTCCTGCGGGAACAGGTCAGGGTGTAGGAGGAGGTGCAGGCAGCTTACCAGGTCAGTTTAGGAGGAGCACTGACACAATAAACAAGAGCATGTTCTTTTGCATTTTTACAGTAAAATATTTGAAAACAAATGCATTACAGTAAATCTCTGTCCTGCTTTTTGATGAGCTGTTCTATAAAGAGACGTGTGTTGTAGTAATAATCAAGCAGAAACAATTTATTTTGATCAAATAAATACATTAATAATATAAGGAAAATAAATAAATATTGTCCAAAAAGGTGTAGGTGAAGACTAAGCTTTTTATACCTACCCTTTTTACATTGAATGTTCTAATAGTTATATTGGTTTCCCCATACCTCCACACAATCGGTAGTAAATGTTTCAATGATACAGTAGATACACCAAGTTTGGATAAAGAGTAATATTGTATAGTTTTCTAGTGAATGTATAGTATGTATGCTGTAATGCACGTGTCAAACTCAAGGCCCGGGGGCCAAATCAGGCCCTTGGTGGATTTAATTTCGGCCCGCAGGATAATTTTTAATTACTATTAGATCTGGCCTGCCGGTATATTGCACGCACACCTTCAGTCAACCCTGAGGATTTCCTCAGCTCAGAGCCTGACCCCAAACATTGATGAACTTGCACCCAAGATGAGATGCCAAGTATCTGGCTTAAACTAGCATCACAGAGCAGCAAATTGAGTTTAAATGGATGTTTCCTTTTTGCACTTTTTTTTCTTGCAACAACAGGGCATGTTTGGTTTTTTCTTTGAGGGAAATTGTTTTTTTGAAGCTGTTGATAGCCTGTGGAAAAATGTAATCATAAGAAATGACTCCGGAAAAGCTGCAGATAGAGCCATAAGAAATGAATGCAACTGATTATTTAATGTTTAAAGTTGTTTTTATAGGCAATCATTTAAGCTTTGTTACTGTAGTTCCAGGTTTAATATGTGCAACAAGTTAATTTCAATACGTTTTGCAATAAAGATTGAACCAGTCCGGCCCTCGACTAGTACCGATTTTTTTATTTTGGCCCACTGTGTATTTGAGTTTGACACCCCTGCTGTAATGTGTCTTGTTCCAGCAGGGGGCGCTGGCCCTGGCTTTGGTGGGGTGGCTGGTGGAAACTATCCAGGTAAAACACTTGGTCAATTTTATACTCCCTTTTGTTTTTTAATCCCACAGTATATTCTTTGAAAAGTTTAAAAACTATAAGCAGTAAATATTCTTAAAAATGTTAAATATTGAAAAAATTCATGAGATAACACATGAGACCATTGTAAAGATGACCTTTTGTTTATCATGACTCTGTTTCCTGTTATTGTTCTATAGGATATGCGGGTGCCGGACAAAAATGTAAGAAAACACACAGTGACCTCTGGGATGAGCATGCTCTAATTAGCTTTAGCACTGACACATAACACAGTATTTCCTTGTTTCATTAAGTAATCTTTTAGTTTTAAATGTTGAGGCTTTTCCTACTCATAAGCACAAAAGACAGAATATTTGACAATGGAATTATTGATTACTTAAGTGACTTAAAGTAACAAAAATACAATTAAAAAGGCTGATAATTGTTTTAAGTTGTTTAGGAAAATGTAAGTCATGTATCAAGTCAAGTATGCTTTTATAATCTGTAGTGGTTTCATTGTAAAGAGGCTGTATGTGTGCAGAATAACTTTTCTCTTTGCTTGTATGTCCTTTAGCCAAGGCACAGATGGTAGCCAAATATGCAGCCATGCAGGCATTACTGGGAGCTAGGGGCTACAGAGGTAAAACCTTACACTTTGTACACAGTAAAACACTCTCATGGAAATGTGTGACTCAACTAAAATGCCTAGATATGATTCTGAAACATTCCAGCACACATACTCATGATTTATTCTGACTTTAACTGTAGTAACTTCAGTTGAATTAATGTTCTGCGGAGCAATCAACTTCCTCCTTCCAGTTTAAAGAAATGGTATTTGATGGAAGTGGTTCACACTTAGTTTTTCCTCTGAAACGAACCATGATGACTGTTAACTTTGAATTTGCACTCTTAGTCTGGTACAAGCATGTTTTTTCGAGAACTGACACTTCAAGAATTGCCCCACTGTAGTATAACAACCACAAATACAGGAACTACGTGACTGCGCAAGGTAAATAACAAAACTGACCCTTTTGACTGAGACGAGGACTTATCTTTAGTTAACTGAACTTAAAGGTGGGGTATGTAATTTATTTCAGAAACACTTTTTGTTATATTCCATGGAATGCTCTTAACATCCCGATAGCAATGAATACATTAAATGCTTTGACAATAAATACATAAAAAAATGTCATCTGTGGAAGCTGTAGTACTGTAAAAAGCACGACCAATCATCTGAGCCGGCCTGGCTAAAATAACTGGATGGCCTACCTGCCTGTCAGCCTTCCATCTCGTGCACAAACTTATCTCGTGCTCTCATTGGTCATGTGCGCGTTCGTGTGTGTTGGAGGAGGGGCTCGGTAAGGAAGTCTGAAGGAAGAGGCAGATTTTTTCTGGTTGTGTACTTTCAAATTCTAGCGCACTCGAGCTGGTTTCTCCAAAATAACATCCCCCCACCTTTAAGTTGACTAAATTTGATGTCTTAAGTTTACAAACGTTTTTTATTTAATATTAAATAATTATTCAGATACAGTAATTCAAATATTTTGCGGGAACTTATGTGTTCATGTGGAATGATCTATACATGTTTACAGTTTAGTTTTTACATATGAAGTATGCCTGCTCTATCATGTGAAGAATCATTTTCTCTGCTCTGTACTCAGGCGCCGGCTGCCAGGGTAAATACTGTGGCCGAAGGAGGAAGTGAGAGACCGGCAGACAGGAAGTTACCTCATTAAACCAACAGTGGTGCTATTGCATGATCTAGATCGTAAATGTCTTATCTACCATAGGAGCTAAAGCTTCAACACATTCCACATGATACACTTTTCATTTGCTTAGATTTGATACAATTTAAAAAAAGAGTGATGGTTCTCAACCTGTTAGGGTTGGGATTCTTCAAAACAAGGTGATGGTTTCATGCTGTTGTGAAATCTGTTCTTTTCATGTTGTTTTAATGTTCACCTTTTCAAAACTAGGTTAGGTTAGGGGATACATTCGTTATAATGGCAACTTATTTTCTCCATAATTCACCTTGAGGCTGGGGATCCCAACTAGCAGGTTGAGAACATCTCAAATAAGTACCACATGTCTTCTGAAGCTGTACTAAAATACAACTGTGTTTTTTTGTATTGTTGTTGAACACCATTTGTGTTCCTGTGTGAGTATCCCCATGAATCCTGATACCAAGGACACCCTCAGGGCAGCTCCTTCAGACCCGTCTGCATGCTGACAAAAAGTTTTAAAAAACAAAAAAATGCTTACCCAGTTAGACTGGACTTTGTTCAAGTCAGCAGATGTAATGCTTAAATTAATTCACTGTTTCTAGCTTTTACATCAAAGTGCAAACACTTGTGAAGTCTATAAAGAGAAATAAACAGATTGTTGCTATTTTGGGAAAAGTGTGAACAAAATGGACTCAAGTGGATTTTTTTTCTAGTGCGATGCGAGTCTGTTTTCATTTTGACGACAGTGGAGGCTGAAGGTCCTCAGATGTAAACACTTCTTCCACTCTGTGCACACCTTTATAAGCACCGTTTTATAGCTACATAACACTAATAGGTTTTGGTGTAAACATACATAAATATTTGTCATTGTTATAAGGATGTATGTGAGGTAATATGATTGGAATACGTGATATGGCATTTAAATGGCATCTGAAGAGCATTAATTACTGTGTTTTTCTTTTTTTAATGTACCTCCTTTAACACTGTTGTTCACGTTTGCTAGTCTTTTTTAAATTATGCTGACAAAGAGCAGGAAATTCTATTTAGTCTCATTTTAAGAATTCAAGCGCATTAATACAGTATTAAATATTTGAGTTATTTTGTGTGTGTTTCCAAAGTTTTAAAACGTGTGTATTGCTAGAATTATTACAAGTGCTTTGTTTACTACATTGTGATTGTAATGTCATTTGGATAGAAAGTGTAATTGATTGTCATGTTGCATTTGAGCTTACATTTGTGTCTTTATATCTAGCTCAACATGTGTTTTTAACATCTGCATTCTTTATGTGGCCTATGAAGAAAATGTTGCACTTTTGTACACTTCAGACAATCTCTGAAATAAAAAAAATGACCAATGACAGTTGTTGTGTCAGGTTATTGTTATTTTAAAGCAGCTAGAATAATTGTTGACATGTGAAACAGTCGGGAGGAGTTTGGGGCACTAGGGGCACAAGGTAAAAATAGGAAGCTGCACAGTCAGAAGCAGATTTTGGTTTTAACATGTTAATGTGTGGTGTGATAACCACAAGTGAGGCTACGGCCTGGGTAGGCTTAAAAAGTGTGAGCAGCAGTCTGACATTATCTTCATGGCAACTCATTGCAAGACTCAGGAAATGTTGTGTGTTAAACTCTAAACTGTATTACACTTCAGAGTTTAATACACAGCACAATATGAAGTTTACAGAACAGGTGCGAGCAATGACTCAATCAATAAGTGCTATCGAGCTGCAAAGATGTATCATTAGTCGATTCATTATCAACTATTTAATACATCTGTAAACTTCCTTATGATTGACATTGGCTTTTTAAATGTGAACTTTGGGGTTTCTTCATACACTATGACAGAAAAATGTATTCTGAAAACATTGAGGAGGTAATGTTGGGGTTTGGGAAAAACATCTGACATTTTATGGCCAAATAACTAATTGAAAACAATGAATGGACTTTTGAAATTGAAGATAATCAGTTTCAGCCCTAAAGTATTAAAATAATTGGGTAAACAACAAAAGCAGCGATGGAGAATAAACAATGGAAGACATATCGGTAACCTGAGTTTTATTTATTTTTTACTTTATAGTGAATAATGGCAATGTGTTGCTCCTAGTTCTGAGCTGTTCCCCATGCTTGTCCTTTAACTGAGTCTCCCTCTTGTGTTAGTTGTGTCTGATGAATAAAGCGCTGTTCTGTAGGATCAGAACAGTGCGGTAATTGGGGCATTCATAAAGAGATTATGTCTGCCCTGATGGGAATAGAGCTAATTTCAAAACAGAGACTCACTGACTCTCACACTACTTCTGAGAAAAACACACTCATAAACACCCATGTAGTTCCAAACTCTGTGGATTCTGCTGAGGAGTGTAACTGTATCTGCAGCGGTCTACATACTGAGAGTAACAGGAGAGGGACCTCAGAGCAGAACTTCTATACTGGGATGTGTGTGTCCCGGCAGCCAGCAGAGGGAGACTGGAAAAATGGTGTCAATAGGTCAGGGTTTTTTCTCACACAGCGACTCTGAGCACTACAGAGGGAAATCGTACGCACAGGAAGCCTCTGAGCACATGGAGAGAGCGAGAGAGAGAGAGAGTACAAAACAACAAAAAAAACAGACAACGCCTGCTGCCGGTCACAGCACAGAACAATTAGGATCCGCTCATGAACGAACGCTGCTGAAAAGCTCCTCTCTTCACTGTGGGATTGTTTCTGAGGGACAGTTGTCCGACCTGACAGGGCAGAATGTCACGCCGGGACCAGAGGTTTCGGAGAGGAATGAAAGGACGGTAAGAAACACTGTTATCAACTTATGTGATATGTGAGCGAGTAGTTCAACATCTGCGGTACTTCCTCAAACCCCTCTGCTGTCACACAGACACACCAGAAACCTGCTCTTGGATTTTCTGTCTACTTTTACATCATTTATAAATATGTTTAGGAGTAGCTAATGAAACCATAGCAGGCACTGTCAATACTTTGTCATATAAGCAGCCTGCTGTCGTATTCATAACTCAACTGTTTTGTTTTGGTGGATGCCAGTTTGTTTCACCTCCATCAACAAGTACTTTAAAATATCCATACATATCACCATTGATACACCCAAAGAAATTACATCAAAAACAAGTGTTTCCTTTTAAGAACTACTGTTTTTAAAGGAAATCCAGCAGGGCGACAGACGGGAGGAAACCATAACAGGAGAAGACGTCATCAGATTCTTACTGTAACATTTGACCTACCATAACGTCCTGACATCCGAACATGTTTGTGTTGGTGTGTCCACTTTTAGTGACACAAGGACAGATCTCAGAGGGGTTATGAGCGGCTAAAGATAAGAGTAAGATGCAGAACAAGCGAGATGAGGGGAATAATGTCAGTGGGAGGATTGTGCGGAGATGAGGCAGAAGAGAGAGTCACGACCAGATGTTTAGATGGAATAGCAGATGTGAAGCTGGGACCTTCCACGTCCTTTGCCAGCAGCACAGTAGGAAAGACAAAAGGTCAAAAGTAAAACTGCAGCTGTCTTTATTACTTAATTATTTCCACAATAATGAATGAAAAGCAGGTCTAACAGATCACTTAGTGTACTTATTATAGAGAACTGTATCCCCGGCAAGGCAAGGCAAGTTTATTTATATAGCACCTTTCAACACAAGGCAATTCAAAGTGCTTTACAAAAATGGAAGACATTATGAAAATGGCATTTAAAATCAGTCATTAAAAAGAAAAGATAATAAAATAAACATTAAAAGAAAAAATACATGGATAAAAGTTAAAAGTTACAGTGCAGTTTAAGATGTGAATAGTTCAATTAAAAGCAGCGGCAAAAAGAAAAGTCTTCAGCCTGGATTTAAAAGTAGTAAGAGTTGCAGCGGACCTGCAGGTTTCTGGGAGTTTGTTCCAGATATTTGGAGCATAATAACTGAATGCTGCTTCTCCATGTTTAGTTCTGACTCTGGGGACAGAAAGCTGACCAGTCCCTGAAGACCTGAGAGATCTGGATGGTTCATAATTTAGCAGTAGGTCAGACATATATTTTGGGCCTAAACCATTCAAAGCTTTATAAACCAGCAGCAGTATTTTGAAATCTATTCTTTGACACACAGGAAGCCAGTGTAAGGACTTCAGAACAGGAGTGATGTGATCCACTTTCTTAGTGTTAGTGAGGACTCGAGCAGCGGTGTTCTGAATTAGCTGCAGCTTTCTAATAGATTTTTTAGTGAGACCTGTAAAGACACCATTACAGTAGTCGAGTCTACTGAAGATAAAAGCATGGACAAGTTTTTCCAAATCCTGCTGTGACATTAGTCTTTTAATCCTAGATATGTTCTTTAGGTGATAGTAGGCTGATTTAGTAACTGTTTTAATGTGACTGTTGAAACTCAGGTCAGAGTCCATGACTACACCTAGATTTCTGGCTTTATCTGTTGTTTTGAACATTGCAGACTGAAGCTCAGCGCTAACTTTTATACGTTCTGCCTTGGCTCCAAAAACCATTACCTCAGTTTTATCTTTGTTTAATTGGAGAAAGTTCTGACACATCCAGTCATTGATTTGTTCAATGCACTTACTCAGTGTTTGAATTGGAGCATAATCTCCTGGTGAAATTGTTACGTAAATTTGTGTGTCATCCGCATAGCTATGGTAACTTATTTTGTTGTTTTTCATTATCTGAGCCAGTGGTAGCATGTAGATGTTAAAGAGAAGAGGCCCCAAGATGGAGCCTTGAGGTACCCCACACCCCGGCAAACATTGAATTAAAGGTGGGGTAGGTAAGTTTGAGAAACCGGCTCAAGATACACTTTTTGTTATATTCCATGGATAAACATTAACATCCCGATAGCAATGAATATCTTAAGTGCTTTGACTAAAAATCCATGAAAAAATTTCATCTGTGGAAGCCGTAGTACTGTAAAAAGCACGACCAATCATTTTAGCCGGCCCGGCTAAAATAACTGGATGGCCTACCTGCCTGTCAGCCTTCCATCTGTGCACAAACTTATCTCGTGCCCTCAGTATTTTCAAATTCTAGCGCACTCGAGCTGGTTTCTTCAAAATTACCTACCCCACCTTTAAGAACCGCAACTAACAATTTCATTATTGATGGGTCTGATTATTATATTGAGGATTATTCAATTTTTTTACAAAATTTCAGAAAATAGTGAGAAATGTCCATCACTTTCTAAAAGTCCAGTGTCTTTAAATGTCTTGTTTTTCAGGGGTTCTGAGTAGTTAGTAGGGCTGTAACTAACTTATGTGACTTGTTATTTAATCTTAAGATTATTCTTTCAATAGATAAATTGTTAAGTCTATGAAGCGTACAAAAAGATAATTATTTCCAGAGCCAAACCTGACTATCTGAAATGTCTTGTTTGTCCACAAGTCACAGATATTCAGTTTCAAGTGGTAGGAAAAAAACATAAAATAAACATTTAATAAGCTGGAATCTGAGAATTGGATATATTTTTTGTTGAAAGATAACTCAAACTGGTTCATCGATTGTTAAAATAGTTGGCAATTAATTCAATATTTGAAAACGTATCGTTCAATCGACAGCTCTAAGTGTGAATGTTGTCAATAACTGTCTTATGTTGGAGGAAACTAACTATTTCATTGTTAATACAAAAGCCACCTTTTCATTAGGGTTAGGGTTAGGGTTAGACCAGCCTGGCATTTACAGTTGAAGTTAGGAGAGAGGAAACATGGATCTGTACTCTGACCAGGAAGTCACCTCCCACTGCAGCTGTAGTGTTGAAGAAATAAGGAAGCAGGTTTTTGTAGTAAATAGGTACTATTCTGCATTCAGTTGAGGCCGGAATGACATTGAAAGTTGTTTTGCTGATTTAACAAAAGAACCAAAAGTGAGCATGCTGCACTGCATTTAGAGAACTAAAGCTTTTTAAACTGTTGCAATGTTTTTGCTTTGTTATGCTCTCTTTTGCAATATACGAGTGGGTGTGCTGATGGGGAAAACACATTAAGTTTAGACATGTGACTGATCAGCAACCCTACATGAGTAGTCCTTTTGTAAGAAGCAAATTTAGTTTGGCATTTGACTAAATACTCTGTCACAGTGACATCAGCAGTTCACAATGAAAAGACATGGTTTCAACACCATCCCTGTGGTGAAGAGAACTCTATTTCCTCCAGGCCAGTGCTGAGAAACACCAGCAGCTTGATGTCCCATGCAAATTACTTTGCTCGAACACACCTCTGAAGTATCCATCATCTTACTCTCCATTTTCTCTTGTTTCGCCCTTCTTCTCTGTCTATTCCCTGCTCCCATGTTTCTCTAGGTGTTGTGAATGTGGCTGCATCTTGTCTCACTGGTACTATGAGAACGAGGGACAGCTCTACTGCAAGAAGCACTACTGGGCCCGCTATGGAGAGCACTGCCACGGCTGCAGAGACACCATCGCAACAGGACTCATCATGGTAACATTATAATCCCTGAAAATAGGAAGAAAATCTGCGTAACCTGAATTTATACCTAGAATTAGGGCCTTACTTATTATAAATTCATTATAAAAGCCATGAATTTACTTTGAGTTGTTTCCATTAGGCTTGACTTTTACTATAATACAATTACATAGTTCTCCTATAGGTCAATTATACCCCAATTTGAGGGTGCTTACTAACAATTTATTATATTATTCACAACATCGCATTTAAAAACCCTGCTTACTTGTTTCAAATCATTTTGTAACAAATTGATTGATAGTTGGTGAGCTAGTTTAAAAATAGCTGCTTTATTGATCATTCAAAGCCTCCATTTGGTACAGAGAAGTGGCCAGACAAATACCAAAATCTGTACATGTGTATTGTTGACAGACAGAAATATGGCAATAAATGTGCAGGATCAAATGTCCCAACATACAGAGTCTCAGCATGCTACACCGACTGTTCATATATTCAAAGCCTTCCTGTCTCTTGGTTTGTTCCTGGAATGAAAGTAAATGTTTTTTTTCTTTCAACACTCAAACAAGAGGATATCCTCTGAAAACATCCTGACACTACAATGCCTTGATGTAGGAATGCACAGAGAACTCTTAAAATCTCACTCCATCAAACATCATCTTGCAAAAATCAATATTATGCCCATTATGTCTCTGCTTTGTATTTTACCAATACCTCCCTGTATAAACAGGTGGCTGGAGAGCAGAAGTACCACCCTGAATGCTTCACATGTATAAGCTGTGAAATGTTCATTGGAGATGGAGACACCTACACACTCGTCGAACGCACAAAACTCTACTGGTAAGTTTGAAGTTAACAGGAAAGAAATCATGCAATGAACTAGATTTGCTGCATGTGGAGAGTAAGCCAGAACAAATTTCTGAAACTAAATATATTTTTCTTGTTCATACATATATAGATGTATGATTCTGGTGAGTGTCCTTAGTTTACCTCTTGATTTGTTTGTTCTGCAGTGGCCATTGCTTCTGTCCAGGTGAAGTATCCGCTGCGAGGTCAGCCTCTTCCCTCACCAAACGTCCACACACGGTGGCGCTGGTGTCTCTCCCTCCCCATGCAGGACGAGGCCTGTCTGTAGCCACTGACCTCAGCCAGGAGAAAGGCCCTCTTGTCACCGTGACAGGGTGAGTCTAAGACATGACAAAGAGTGACATTTAATTAGCGCTGAAATACAACTAAACCTAAAGATTGATCTAAAATCCCAAATGTTCTGTCTTATCCCATTTAGCTTGCAACAATTTCCTCACTGTAATTCTCCCCCAGGTTAGACTCCTCCACCCTCAGCCCTGAGCTGCTGTCCTCCATCCACATGGGGGACCGGGTTCTGGAGGTAAACGGCATCCCCGTCCTCAACATTTCCCCAGACGAGGTAGGCCTCAAACCTCACACATATTCAGCAATAATGTCATCACTAAATGAGAAGTAATTACACTATGGGTTAGAAGTCTTGCGTATTTCTCAAGTCAAGATCTTTTATTGCTGTCATCATTATTATTATTATTAAGCTGTTTTTACTGTGGAATTTATAAGATTATTTATACACATTTCTATTCTATGTTTTATTGAATCTTTATGAGTTTTCGTTCAGTGTCCTTTGACATTATACTCTCTTAGGTGAAAGAGAAGCCTTCCAATACCATGTTATGTTATCTTTCAAAATGATGCAAAATAAATAATGTTTGAGTAGTAGAAGTAGATACACTCCTTGGCATCTGCAAGAAAACAATAAAAAGACTACTATGTCCACAAAGGTCACCCCCATATGCTTGCCTCCAGATAAACTGTGTGATCCAGGACACAAACAGACCGCTGCAGCTGACCATTGAACACAACCCACAGTCTCCTGATGACCCTACTCTCTCAAACGATCCCCCGGACAACATCAGCTGTCCTGAACCGTGTGTCTGTGAAAAACTTTCTTCAACCCATAAACTCCCAAGTCTAGAGGAAGAGCCGAGTCCAGGGGGGGAGACAGATGAACCAATCAGGGTGAGCCTCTCACCGCCTCAGCACCAAGGAATGAGATCTAGACACATTCTGTAAGTCATGTATTTCATCTTTTCTTAAGTCATTGTTCATTCATTTATATTTTCTTTGACTGAGTCTCTATTTTCTTTCTCAGGCGCAGCTGTAGTATAGATAAGTGTCCTCTGTCCCCTGGAGGTCTGTCACTTTTATCTCATAGAAGAGAAATGGTTCGCTCCGAGTCTCTTCGTGCGGACCCTGGAGATCGGACTCATCGCATCTTCCGACCTTCAGACCTCATCCATGGAGAAGTGCTTGGCAAGGGCTTCTTTGGACAGGCTGTCAAGGTACAACTTTTTCCCTTCACATGGTCTCTTTCATAAAATATAGATGACTTTCTCATACCATTTGTAAAAACTGACACCAAGTACTTTTAATCAGCTTTCTGAATAACCTCTTGCTGTCAAGGTAACACATCAGGAGACAGGGGAGGTGATGGTGATGAAAGAGTTGATACGGTTTGATGAGGAGACGCAGAAGACTTTCTTGAAGGAAGTAAGTGTTCATCAAAGCAGGGAGTCAACACCATTAACAGATTCAAATGTAATCAGCCCATTGGAGGCGTTATCAGACTCAGATGGTTCAGGTTATTTGTATTAGTATCCGTAGGTAGATTTAGTTTGGAGATAAAGATGGGGCCTGCTACACCGATTAGCAGGCTCAGAAGGCTGCTGTGATTATCTATTTAAAAGGTTGATGACTGATACAAGTACCAAGACTCCACCTCCTCTAGTCACATCAGTAATTGTGACAGCAGCAAAGGAGGAAATAGTATTAAGACTGAGTTTGTAGAGGTAGACCGGTGGTATTTGGGTCAAACAATGGACACTAAATAATACGACTTTTTGTGTCCCCTGGTAAACAAGAAGTCAAAACATGTATATATGTACGTAACATCGGTAAGCTAGCTAACCAAGTCATAATATTTTCCTAAAGCTAAAACAAGTTGTTCTTTGTTTCAATGTACACAAGCATTAACCACATAAAAGTGAGCCTGTTACTAGCTTCACTTTCCTAATTCTTACCATCTGAGGATTACAATGTTATATCAACTGGCCATTCAATGGGAAATGATAACATTTCAAACGGGCGACCTCACAACGCACTCTCAACTAACCATGAAGATTCCCTGGCATGGTTTAAAATCCATTTTACATCATCAAGAGGGTCAAAAGATCACTCAGAGCTATTTTTCACGTTACTACAAAGTCCTGAAGTATTTGTTTAACCACGTTTCTTCTCAATGTGTTCAGGTGAAGGTGATGCGCTGTATGGACCATCCCAATGTCCTAAAGTTCATTGGACTGTTTTATAAAGACAAACGGATAAACTTTGTCTCTGAATACATCCAGGGAGGAACTCTCAGAGAGACCATCATTAAAATGGTAAGTTAAGAAAAAGCTTAATGTTTCTGTCAAGGTTCACAGACACAGTATGATGGTGAATCTCTTGTTGTTGTAGGACAAAGATTTCCCCTGGAGTGTCAGAGTGGGTTATGCTAAAGACATTGCAGCTGGAATGGTGAGTCCTTCAAGGTTAATATCCCAAATAAATAATTCCCTTATCTAGTACCAACTTTCCTTAATGTATACAACGTTTCTCCTTCTAAGGCTTATCTACACTCCATGAATGTTATTCACCGAGATCTTAACTCACACAACTGCCTGGTCAGAGAGGTAAAAAAGTGGTTCCATCACACACTCATATTCACTTTGTGATGCACACACGTCAAAAACTAGAACGTTCCTAACATTTATTTCTCTATTTCTCGTGGTTTAGAACCAGTCTGTGGTGGTGGCAGACTTTGGACTAGCCAGGCTGGTGAGGGAGGAGAGAAATCAGAGCAAAACCTCTTCTCTGGAAAGGCCTCCTAAGGGAACACTGTCAGATCTCCGCAGGCCTGACCGGAGGAAGCGCTACACCGTGGTGGGAAACCCCTATTGGATGGCCCCTGAGATGATTAGTGGTGAGTGCAAATGGATCCAGGCCATCAGTTCTCTCTTTATCAAGGACCCCCGGGCACCTGAGCCCAAATTGACAGATTGTTCATCTCGAGGAGCCAATAAATGGTGCTAGTTAGAAGTCGATGGAACAAGACAAATATACAATATTATGAATTTCTTCGGAAGCCTGGACTTCATTTTTGAAATTCTGTGTTAGAGGAAGCACTTGAAAAACCTTTTTTATGGCAATGTTTAAATATTTCTGACTATGAGTAATCGATCTTTGGGAATCATGCGAGACCTCACAGCGTTTTGTGTGAAGATTCACATTGGATTTAAATGTTACACTAAATGTTGCTTCCTTTTAACAATATGCTTTTAAATGAATGACAATTTGCCAAGATATATTATTTTCTCATATGCTCTAGTCTACACCACAACGGTTTGACAAAGGTATAAATACTCTATGACTAACCTCAACCTGCCTCTTGATACCAGAAGTGCTGCACTATAATACAATATGCAAAGAAGGAACTAACCCTGTAGGATACCCAATACTATTCTATGGTAAAATAACAAGTCTAATAATAAAACCCTGAAAAGAGAATGGGTCTGTAAAGATTTGGTTTACATTTTGCAATCTTTCCTCTGCACTTCTCAGGAAAAACCTATGATGAACGGGTGGACATCTTTTCCTTTGGTATCATGATATGTGAGGTAAGAACTTCTCAGGAATTCCAAAGATGTGGTGTTGAATCTAAAAGCACACTATCCATTGTGAAGCTAAGGACGTATCTTTCTTTGTTTCTCTCAAGATAATAGGTAGAGTGAACGCTGACCCCGACTACCTTCCCCGGTCAAATGACTTTGGGCTAAATGTGTCCGGCTTCCTGCAGCAGTACCACCCTCCTCAGTGCCCCCCCGCCTTCATGCCGCTGGGTGTACTTTGCTGTGACATGGACGCTGAAAAACGGTATGAACGCACAATTCCAGTAAAACCGCAGATCTAAATTGATAAAGCATTGTATGAATATTCATGTTTGAATATTGCTCAGTAAGATTGAGTAGCCTGCCTCTGTTTTATATTTTGTTTCAAAACACATTTCAGCTATTCAGTACATTTCAGTTTGAGAACAACAGGTAACGGTACTACTTTAAATGTAACAAATAGGCGTTTCATTATAAGAGGAAGTGCTGTGGTGGTTTATGTTGTAAAGAAACTGCAATACAACATCATTTATACAGAACAACGTATTGTTTTGTTTTTACCATTATAGAGCGATTAACTTGCATGATAAACACATCACAAAGGACTGCAATATTATATTTTGGAATTAGTTTAAAGATCAGTAGAAAACTGCACTTTAAAATGTATTGTATCAAAACTAAAGTATGAGCACACATACATTAAACAGACGGCAAATAGTGTTCTTAGTAATGCATTACACAAACTAAACTACTACAGTGCAGAACAGGTTACTAATATGTCATTTGAGGGCCCTTTAGCTTCTCACTACAACTCGTTGTCTTTCAGTCCTTCCTTTTCAAAGCTGGAGGAGTGGCTGGAGAACCTGCTGATGCACCTGGACATCGGGCTGCCTCAGCTCTCTGTGTTAGAGCAGCTCAGCAGAGGCTTCTGGATGAACCACAACCACCAAAACCAAACTCAGAACCAGGATAAATCCCCTGATTCTCATGAACAAACCCAGTGCTCACAGACACAAAGACACAGCCCTGACGCCAAGTTACATTCAGACAATGCAAATAACCACACAGAGCCTAATCAACTCACCGAGAGCCAAAATCAAAATAGCACACCTGAGAGACATTCGGATGAAGAGCATGACAACGATGAGATGAGACCAGAGGATAACCACTCCTGTTTGAGCAGACAATGTAAGGATCAATCACAAGAGAAGAGCAAGACGTGTTGCAGGTCGACGAGCGTAGACTCAGGCGAAAATGGGTCTAAATCCTCTGAACGGAATAACCCCTTAGGACAACCAGAAGTCCAGGAGGAGCCCTCACAACAGCTGCAGGTCAACACTTCGCTAGGACGCTCTAACAGGCAGAGAAGGACATGCAGAGTGCTGTGGGACAGATCTGAAGAGGACAGCTCTTTTCTCTGACTGCTTTTTTTGATGGCCAAGACGAAGCACAGTTTTCAGTTATTAAATAGTTATACAGAGAACCTGTAGAGGCATAACATTGCAAGTATATGTGATATTTTACATTAAAAGCAAAACAGATGTGTATGTTGCTTCATGAGAACTGCTAGTGCATGACTCATTTTGCTCTGTAAACCATGTGATTTCAACCACAGCCCCACAATACAGGCTTTCGTTCATATTTCAGAGTTACATTTTAACTCAAAAGCAGTATATTGTCCGAAATGTTTTGCAAGCACATGATCGAAAAAGATTTCTCTCTGGTAGACAAACTACATAATGGCGACAGTTTCTTAGATAGCCTACCTCAAACATAACTTTTGCATTGTTGTGCTAGAAATGTCTCTTTTCTTAATCACATGGTTCCTACAGCTTAAGGCAATTAAGAATTTGAAAGGCACTCAGAACAAAATTCATGACCAACTTTAAAATAACCAAAACAAGCTGATGAGAGATGTGTGATTGGTGTTTGGTCCTTGTGTTAAGACACCACATTATCTGTTTTCAGTGTATGTGAGATGCATTGGGAAGATTATTTATAAATAGATCAGAGATTTTAACTCGAAATGTCTAAAATATATATTTATAGTATCCTACTTACATTGGCTTTTCAAAGATTGATTTAAGATTAATTTAATTCCTTTTCAAAAGTGTTTAAGGAGGACCCTCTTGTGTATTTTCTGTTTAAACGTTTTACACTTTGTCTGAAATACTGAGCTGCTATGTTATATGTGTATATTTCTCTATTAAATTACAGTTGTGCTTTTATAAAAGCACAACTGTAATTTAATAAAGAGAAATATACTGATGTGAACGACCTTGGTAAAATGTTAAACAAAAACATCTGTAAACATGACAAAGGGCTAATCGAGGACTAACGGCAACTAGCCGACCGTTACTTTTCAAAAATAAACTCAGCATTCAAGTGAACAGTTGAAAAGTTAATAAATAAGAGCTAGCTGAAAAGTTAACATGGACAACATGGACAACCACGCTGAGGTGAAGTTTTTTTACGATTTATCCGAAGGTTCTTCCCATTGCATGTCGGAAAAACAGTCCTAAACCGGGTTAACTTAGCCTAGGGTCAAAGAGATGGAAACTAGCTTAAATGTCATATAAGGGTTGGCGCAATGTTCATAAATATGAAAAAGTAGGTAGTAGCAGTTGTGTAATAATTATAATCCTTGTTACGTTTATTATTATTGTTTTTATTGTTATTGTTGTTGTTGTTGTTGTTGTAGCAGTAGCTTAGCTGTTGTTAGCATCCTGACCTGCCTGATTCACATCACGGGGCTGCTCCCTCTGGTACTTTAAATCAGAGCGGCTACACTGAGCGGGCTGCAGCCGGAGCTCAGCACACACACGCACACACACCATATGTCTCAACAACACATTGTATTAGTTCTTCTATAGTTTGGTATTTTTCGGCAACACTCACATTGTAGTGTAAGCCAGCAGCAACATGCAGCACATGTCGTCTCCGGTCAGGTTCCGCAGCAGTAAGAAAGGTACGTCACCATTTATACACAACTAGGTTGCTTCACCGATTTATCAAAATAAACGTTAAATGCTCAGCTACATGATACATCAATAAAAGCAGCCTATAATGTTCCTGCAGGGATTTATATACGTGTTTGGCAGCTATATTCATGGTTATCGTTAAGCAACTTAGGTTCATGGTTTGCCTTTGAAATGTAGTTGTTAGTAAGATAAGATGCTATGCATAAATAAGAATGTTTTTGTGTGCAACATGTTGTTAGAATTCTGTCAGTACACACCTGCCCGTCTGTGACAAACTATGAAAGGCAATGTTGTTATACTCCCAACAGTGTTCTGTCATGTCACCTTAAAAATGTGTGCAGTTTGATTTAAAATGTTGTTTATTGATAGCAGGAGGGTACATTTTGGAAATTTGTTTACAGACATATGCATTGTTATTCTCATTGTCCAGTTTAAACAACAATTCTCTATGTATTTGTATTTATTTTTTCCATTTATATTTGCTGTCCTTTGCTCAAAAAACAGCAACTTTCTCGGAAAAGGAGGTAGGACACACTTGTAGAATAGTTGTTAGTGATTGTGTTAATAGCTTGTGTGTGTGTGTTAAAGAATTAAGTCTTCCACCCCCCATCTTGTCAGAGCATTAGAAGCTGGGCTAAGCCTGCTGCAAAGCTTTGTGGGTAATGAGAGCTGACAGGTAAAGGGACCAGATGAACCCTGATCAGGCCAGCAGCACTGTATTGTTCTTTCTGCCGTCTTCACACCGGGAAAATTAATCTCTTGTAAAGCAGGTGTGGAGGCTCTGCTGTCCTCCTATTTTCACGAAAACCAGTAGAGTCCCTCTGTGGGGAAATTAACTGTGACCCATCCAAAGCAGGTGTGGAGCGCTTGGTCAGTCATATGGCCCTGATATTTTTTTACCCACGAGCTATGTGTGCATAAGCAACACACTGAAAGATTTGCCCTAAAATCATGTGAAAAACCTACTCCTATTCCTTCCTTCCTAGTGTTACCCAACCTCTCCACCATTCCTTGACAGATGGATGAAGGCCTCTAATGGGATATAATGGGATCACAAGCCAGGGCTAATTAGTGAAGAAAGGGTTGTCACTACAACAAAAGACACTAACAATTACTTATTTTAAGTCACTTTACATACAATTGTCATCTAAATGTAATGTAATCTAGTGTATAACAATCATTACTGTATTTGCTTAGTTTGGACTCAAGATTAAATCATTTATTGGGCCATCATTTTTCCATGCAGATAGGAAATTAGAATCACAAGTGACTTACCATTGAGACTTAAGATAGTCCATATATAAAACCCTTAGTGTGTAACCTTAGTGTTGAACTGCTTCCCCCTGTCACAGTTGTCCAATCTGTCCATCGAGGACCAGGAGGACACTCAGTTTCCGTACGCCATGAGGGATCTGCCTCCCGTGTCTCAGCCTGGCGAACAGAACCAGACAGAAGACCACCATGAGGCAGAGGGGAGCGGGACAGCACCGAACGGCAGACTCCCCAGCCTCCCCGGGACTCCCTCTCTGCCCCGTCCCACCCCCGTCTACGCTTCTGGATCCCCGACTGTCCCTCAAAGACCAATTCGTGTGAGAACTGACGCAGAGTTTCAGCCCCTGCAGCTGAGGAGGCAGTTCGCCTCTTATTCGTCCATGGAGCGTCCTCTCAGCCCGGCCTCACGTCCTCACAGCCCATGGGGACGCTTTGATCCCTATGAATCTGCAGAGGTGTGTTTCTGAAGAGCCTTAGTTATATATGGTTTCTCATTCATTTCCAACATCTGTACATGATTCTGAACTCATCCTAGATTCTTCTTGCATCTATTTCTTTTTTAGAAAACCTTAAATGTACTTTATCTTGAAAAACAGACTTAACCCTTAAAAGGACAGTTGTGTGCATAATCAATAAGACATTTTCCCATTATGCTTTGCAGTGCAGCTCATAGACTTGTGAAGCTTTTGAGGATGCAAATCATATGCACATAAATACATGTTATGTTTTATTTCTATAGGATCAGGAAAAGGAGTATGTTGGTTTTGCCACATTGCCCCACCAGGTTCAGAGGAAGACGGTGAAGAAAGGTTTCACATTTACCCTTATGGTGGCAGGTGAGTTAACCATTATTTTTTGATATATCTGATTAGTAGGAGTGTGGTCTTTTGTCATCTTGTTTTATGTGTGAAGAAGCATTGTATTTGTTGTTATAGTTTTGTTACTATATATAAGTAAGTTATTCAGAAGCATCAGAGTCATGGCTGTCTCTTCCCATAGGAGAATCTGGCCTCGGTAAATCCACACTTATCAACAGTTTGTTCCTCACGGACCTTTACAAAGACAGGAAGGTTCCCAATGCAGAAGGTGAGATGAGCCCAGGTTTTCTCCAAAGTAATATATTTTATTAATAAAAAAATAAAAATTGCTTTTGAAATTAAAAAAAGTCCTTAATTCTAATTCTAAATTGTAGGATCCATGTGGCTATTTATATGATGCCTATGTAATTATTTATACTGCTGCTACTACTACTTTCTTACCCTGGGGGATGTGTGTGTGTGTGTGTGTGTTCGGCTTGTTGCCCACACACAAATTTGATTACTTTGCACTTGTATGTGTCTGCAGAACGGATCAATCAAACAGTGAACATTCTCACACACACAGTTAGCATCGAAGAGAAAGGAATCAAATTGAGGCTCACCGTCATCGACACACCAGGGTTTGGAGACTCCATCAACGAGACAGGAAGGTGAGGTCATCAACATGCTTATCCTGCATATGTTCTCCTCCTTCATACTCATTGACAAAACATCCCAACAGATACAGTGTGATAATTAAATAAGTCAGTCATTAGAGTGTTAATAAACTCACAGGAAGCACACATCATGACTGAGGTAAAACAAAGGAGACCAAATGGAGGAAGGCATCATATAAGTTCTCATTGTGAAGTGATTGCACCTGAGGGGGTTGGTACCTTTCCAGGCAGGAGCGCTTGTTTTATCCTCCCTGCCTCATGTGTCGTCATGTGATTTAATTCTGGGGACTTTTATCAACCGTTTTAATACGAATACTATCTATGTTACACCACTTGCTCTCAACACTAGCAGCATTTAATACAACATAAAATCAGGAACTACAGAATTACAGTGAGGAAACACCATTGGCAGGAAAATAAATATATACAAACCTTTACTTGGTATACAATACACCAACACAAATCAGACGGAAATGCATTCATAGAGGCACAAAGTTACGTTACATTTTTATCTTCCCATCCTCACATTATAAACTGTCCGTTAGGGTTGTTGTTGTTGTTTGACTCACAGAGATTGTTTGTTTGCATCAGCTGGAAGCCATTAGAGGACCATATCGACAAGCAGTTTGAACAGTACTTCAGAGATGAGAGCGGGCTGAACAGAAGGAACATCCAGGACAACAGAGTCCACTGCTGCCTCTACTTCATCTCTCCATATGGCCACGGGTACGCTAACATGTTTTGACTTTTGCACATAAAAGATGTTTAATATCTGAAAAGTTTCTGCATGTGTGCATTGACACTTACATTACTGTTTTGTCTCAGTCTTAGACCTCTGGATGTGGCGTGTATGAAGGCCTTGCACAACAAAGTCAACATAGTCCCTGTAGTGGCCAAGGCAGACAGCTTGACAGAAGCAGAGGTCCAGAGAAAGAAGATGAAGGTATGAGATCATAAACACACACATCAGTCAGGGAGAGTTCACGTATTGAAGATATCTTTTTTTCAATTGTATTTCTGTCAATTTCTCTCATTCATTCTCTTATCTCTCATTATTATGTGTTCATGTACTGTAGATCAGAGAGCAGATCGAGCAGTTTGGGATCAACATCTATCAGTTTCCTGAGTGTGATTCAGATGAGGATGAAGACTTAAAGAAACAGGATCAATTACTCAAGGTTATTCAATTTACTTTAATTTCTCTCTTTAAAATTGAATGGCTCTTCAATGTTAAACAGTTCACTGTTGTGTGGCTTCTCCCTGCAGGACAGCATCCCGTTTGCAGTAATTGGGAGTAATGTTCAGGTGGAGAGTGACGGCCACAAGGTCAGAGGTCGAGTCTATCCCTGGGGTGTGGTAGAAGGTAACACACTCTTAATACTTTTATATTTGTTCAAATGTTTTACAGAGAAGTTTGTGTCTTCACTTTTTCTTTTGGTTAGCTCTTACAACGGCTTTGGACATTTGTTGGGCGTCACCTTGATTTTTGCATCATCTTTATGCATTTCTTTTATTCTGGTATGTATGAAAACATCAGTGTGATCTGGTAACACGTTGTCGTTTAATTTCAGTGGAGAACCCGGCTCACTCCGACTTCCTGCTGCTGAGGAACATGTTGGTAAAAACCCATATGCAGGACCTGAAAGACCAAACGGGCGAGACACACTATGAAAATTACAGAGCCCAGTGCATCTCAAATATGACGCGCATGGAGGTGGGTGGAGTCAGGTTTCACACCTACACAGTTTGTTGATGGAAATCTTTCTATAAGCCGCGTTCACACTAATGGATTACAATTGTCCTACAATTCCCTCTAATGGATTATTGATTAGCATCCCTATGTTTACAAGTCTCAATTATTATTTACAGTACACTAACCTGTTACAAGTTTGCGTCTAGGAGAGGGATTTATTTTCAAGTCATTTTAAATATAATATGATTTCTGAAAATATACATGTTATGTGATGATGGAGGTAGATGCTCAGGCAGCTCTTCTTTATGTATTTGCGGGTTGTAGTGTCATACATCAGGAGCGCAGCGTGGCAGACTCCCCCCTGCCGCTGGCTGCAGCTGACACCAAGACGCAAAGGCTCATCGGTACGTTTCTCTTACTAACTCCTTCTTTCATTAATTTGGTTACAGAGGTCATAATCAACACTCACTTCCTTTACTTTACCTTCTGTAGCTGAGGAGGATGCAGGAGGTGCTGGAGAGAGTTCAGCAGCACATGCATCAAAGCCAGAGAGACGGTTTCTGAGCAACCAGGAACACAGAGGAAGCTCCGTTTCTGATCCATGAGGAGCAAAAAGGAGATGGAACTCATTTACATTAGGGTCCTTGTTTAATGGACTTACTTACCATCTTAAAGTGATGAAGGCTGGTATCATGGTCCTCCAGGATCACACAAACATTTCTGTGGGTCTCTGAAAAAAAGGTGCTATGGTTAAAAGGAGCCACCACTCCACAATCCCAACAACACACCCAGAGATCCGATTAGATGAATAAACGCCAGTCAAAAAGCTAATTAGAAACAACCCTCAATGTAAACAGGGTTGTGTTCAAGATGTTCAGGTCTCACTTCTTCCAAAGAGAGAGTTTTTCGGCTGCTTCACATTAATTATTACTTTTATTCTATTAATTTAATCAAATGCTTCTCTTGTAGTAACCTTGATAAGGATGTAAAACTGCCATCTAGGGGACATTGTAGTGAGGTGATAGTTGGGTCTTAAATGTATACAAATGTTTCATATTGTACTACTTTTGAATCAACTGTTTTTTTAATGTTTTTCTATTTTTAATCTTTAGTTTTAGATGCTTTGTATGGACAAGTGAAACATTTCAATAAAAAAACATTCAAACTGCAGATGGTTTATGTTGTTACAGGAGAAAAATAAATACAGGAGCAAGATGTGTTGTAAATGTAATAAGATTTATTAAGAATCTTTATTATTTCATCAGCAAAATTCTTCATCATTAATATGTTTTATCCATTATCATCATTGTTATCTTTAACAGTGGACAGTTAGATCTAAAAGGCAGCCCAAAGTGTACAGGCGATATATAACTTAAAACTTTCTCCATAGGGAAAACATGTTTTTATATTCATATATAATATCAATGTAGCATGAGGTCCAAGATCCTGCCCACGTTATACAGTATTGTACATGGTCCCAAAAAGAAACAAAAAACAAAACGTTTATACAAAAGAAACTTAACCGGCAATCTACATGCAACAAAACCAAAAAGAAACAAGCGTTTAAAATTTTAAGATACATACACTCATATGCCAAAACGTGCATACAATCACAAATTTACAAAACTTTCATACATACATACAAATATTACAAAACTCAAATATTAGACATGTTATCCAGAAAAGAGCATATTTTTTTCTTTTTCTTATTTACTTTTTCCACTCATTGTCTCAGTCCATCTCACAAAATGGAAAACTTAAAAACGTAAAAAAATCCAATCATGACAGTAAATATTTGTCTCTTCCATTCGCTCATTGTGTTCGTGTTTTGCCGGAGTTGTCACAGTGTTCAGTAAAACTGAGTTAAGGCACACACGATAGCACCCAGACAGACTCATCCCATAAATCACCTCTGTAAAAAAATAGCTTGCTTGCTACACACGCACACGCACACACTCCATCATGCACGGGGCAAACTGCAGAACCAAAAACAGCCATGCTACAGGTACAGTAGGATAACTATAGTACAGGATATAAAACATATTGAATAGTTACATATACAGACATAACACACAGACACAGCAGAGGACAGTGACTACATACACTGATGGGAGATTTCATGGTGTGACATGTATAGGCTGGCAAGAAGGCTGTGAAGCCATTTTGAGTGTGTGCACATTAACATACATAGACATACGCAAAGACAAGTGGGTTTCAACACATTTTCTGGTCTGGAGCAGAAGATTTGGCTTTGTGTTCGCTATAATTTGATATACAAAAAGGGTCATATTTCTGCCAAATTATCCTTCACAAAATGGCATTAAAGTGTAAACTCTTCTCACGCTTAAAGAGCTATTTCCAAATCTCTTCTGGAGCTTTCATCCACATCTCAACTCCTCCCAGCACTTTTGAGTTAATCATGTGACCAAAGTCCCATACTGTATGTAATATAATGCAGTACACAACTCAGGATTTTTTTTTTTTTACTTGAGTTAAGATGTGTTATGTTATAAAAGGCCAAGAGTTCTTTTAGACTCAACAGTCTCTTTGTTTTTACACATTTTAAAGCCTGTGCATTATCTTTGCATTGTGCCCCCATTGTGTTGAGTGTGTGTATGTATGTATGTATGTGTGTGTGTGTATGTGTATGTGTGTGTGTGTGTATGTGTATGTGTATGTGCATGCATGTGTAGCATCAGTATGAGGCAGCAGGGGGAGCTGTTGCTTTAGAGTGAAGAGGATGAAAACCTGCGTAGCCCTGAATAGGATACCTGTCACTGAGTGTTTCGAGAGCAGTTTTAAGGGTTTTTTCCCCATCTTTGTCATAATATAGATTTTTGTTCAGCTTGATGTCCAGACAGTCTATTACAAGACTTTCTCAGACTTTATGACTGCTTATCTTTAACGTGTTGCTCTACCTTTAAATGTGTTGTTTGGTCGACTTCCTACAAGGAAATCAAATCTCCAATAACTAACAGGCAAAGGTCATGTTGTCTCTAGACTTCTCCACAAGGCCACTAAAACAGAGGCTTCTGTATGTTAAGCAAACCATGTTATCTATACCCTTCTTCTACCCTTTAAAAGGGGACACTATTTTGACCAATTAGTATTGACCAGCGGTGCTTTTAAAAAAATATTCACATAATGAAATTATTTTCTGGTTTGTACAAAATAAATCACCTCACAGTAATGCAGCCTAAACCAGGAAAATGCTTGTGCGATATTATGATATCTAACAGATAAGACAATATCTAGTCTCATATTACAATCTTTAAAACATTCCACTGTTTTAGAGTCCTCCATAAAGAGAGCCAAAGGGGAAGTGGATAAAATAACTCCACTGTTGAATGGGACACTTGCTCACATGATCAGAAGCTGTCAGCTGAACAGAAATCACACATAAAAATGGTTCAGTTGTTTCTTTTGGTCTTTCTCTTTGTAATTGCAGATCTGGCCATGTAATGTGGTGCACCTCATATTTGATCACACTTCTCTGTAATTCATTCGGATCAGTGAGATCCCTCCTCTGCTCTCAAACACATCAGTGACAGCTTTTCTCCAGGATGTCCCACGTGACGTCATGATTATATGAACACAAAAACAAGCACATACTGTATCACCACGGCAACAACCTCACGACAAACAAATCTCTCTTTCGTGCGTTTTCCCTCGATGAGTGGATGAATGGTAAAGGTAAATCTTAGATGCCTGAGTGTGAGCTTATAATGTTAGTGCTTCTGGTGTAAAGGAAGGTCAAACAGAGTTCCTGTCTTTGCAGCGCAGACAAATGTCACAGTCTTATCTTCACAAACAATGGCCTCACCCACCGACTCTGCGTCAATGTTCACAAACGAACGAGCTGAGACTGAAATATCTCTGGAGGTATCCGTCACACGTGGTCCAGAAAAAACGATGTTTTCCTGGTGAATGTTTCGTCAGAGATTCTCTGCTAGTGATTATTGACAGGAGTGTGAAAATTCCTCCGGAAGTTCAGTTCAGAATCTTTCCCACTTTTCATTTTTTGTTCATCTTTCAGGCTAGTTTGAGTGTGCTGACAGGAAAGGTTGGGACTGTTACCATGGTGACAGGGTTGAGGACCGCAGCCTGACCAACCAGCTGGGGGTGGGGGGCCAGCACCGCTGTGGGTTTCCCTAGCGACGGGTGCCCCTGGCTGATGACGGCTGAGCTGTTCATCTGGGCTCCGTTAGTGTTAGCTTGAGGGTTAGCATGGACGTGGGGCAGGGTGTGGTGGGTGAAGGTGTGGGTGATGTGTCCCATCATGGTGGGCTGGGAGACGGACACGCCCTGGGGGTAGAGATTTGGGAGGTGGGATTGCAGGTGAGCCAAGGGGTGGACGGTGATGTGTCCGATGGGCTGTGCGGATATTTGCTGGTGAGCGATTGTCTGAGGCATGGAGGACATGGAGGACATGGAGGACATGGAGGACATGGAGGACATGGAGGACATGGGGCCGGGGGACGGGGCGATATGCGTTAGGTGCTTGAGATTCGACGGCAGGCCGTGATTGACAGCCTGGATGACTGACGGGTGGGAGATGGCAGCATGAGCGATGACGGTGGGCTGGAGCTGCTGGATGGGATGTGCGAGCTGTGGAGGGGGCGGGCCTGGGGCCGGTGCGATGGCTTGAGGGGGGGCGGAGGGGGAGGACGTGGTCAGAACCCCCAGAGGCAGGGAGGCGTGCTGGATGGTCAGGTGAGAGGTGAGCAGCTGCTGGGCATGTATAACGGGAGCTTTGGAGAGGGAGGGGGGAGCAGGAGGGGCCGGGTCATCGTCGTCAATGTCCTGCTCAAAGTTGTCTTCTCCTTCTGTGGACCAGAGAGGAAACTGTTAGTCATCATGATCCAGCACAGCCCTCCACTTTGAAATAGCATACAATGCAGTTTGTCATATATTCACTGCACACATTTTTTACGCTTTTTTTGCACATTTAAATACGTGTCTTTATTCTGTATTTGTTTTTTCAATCGTTAAATAAAATAGTGCAAGATTGTTGTAAGTGACCAAGTAAATGCAGTGGTCTACATACATGTAACATTGAATAAGATAAACAAGTGCCATCTGTATGTGTTCTATGTGCTTATTACATGGTTTAGTTGTATACTCGATTCTGATTGGTCAATTCAGAACACGTGACACATTGTTAATCCAGTAGTACAGACCGCTGTCAAGGACTTATTGACCGTTGTTAAGGACGATCACATCTGCAGAAAGAAGTCGATTTAACTGTATACAGTTTGGTTGAAAAGCAAACTGTATACAGTTTGCTTTTCAAACTGTTTGCCTGTCTTTAGTTTTCCGTTGTCTACCGTCTAAGAGCAACATGGAGGATTTAAATATTAATTTAAATATATTTGGAGAGCACAGTCATTTGGATGAATGGTTAGTGGCTGATGAGTCCCCAGTGAAGAAAAGAAAAAGACAACAGCGGAGAAGTAACGGGGAAGAAACCCTCAACACGGAGCTGCGGTCCTTTTTACACAACGGTCCAGACATCAAACGGCAAAACTATTCAGTGTGCAGTTACTTTGGCATTAGGGCAGGGATATCTAGATACTTTCCAAGGTTTGACATAATGAATTGTGCTACTTTTAAAAGCAAGCAACAATGTTGCAACGCCCCTCAGAGATATTTGATTAAAAAAAACACAATGGTGCTCAGGAGGAGATTCAGGTGATAAGGTGGGGGGGGGGGGGGTGGTTACCTTGGTTGGTATTGGCTAATGGTTACACAGGCCACAAAAACATTATGACATCATAAAGTGGCCAAAATCTGATCAGCTCATTTTCAGACAGGTTTTTATATCAGGACAAAAAGTGAGCAAATATTTTTTCCTGAAACTTTCAGAATATGTTTAAACAGAGGGGACCCATGTTTATGTATAAAAGACATGAACAAGTGGATTTTGCATAATAGGTCCCCTTTAAATAATAAAGATGCACTGATTACATTTCAGTTCCGATACAGAGTACGTATCTGAAACCAGCGTTTAAATAATAAGCTGCCTCTTTGGATCATTATTTTATGCGTAATGGGTCATCAGGCAGAACATTACTTTCCTAACTTTGGCAAACTTAAAGTCATCAAAAAAGCATTGAAAAATGTTAACTTAATTGAAGGGAAATTGTGCACCATAGACTTGGTAAACAAATCGTGGCAGGATGCTTCTTTAGGTGCTTTATTAAGTTGGTTGTGTTATAATTAGCATTGCTACGGCCAGCCCTCCAGGCATTTACTTTGCAGATATTGCAAGTAGTCGTAGAACTCGCTGGCAAAGCAAGCGTGAAATAACTCCAAAAAGCTGACATGTTTGTTGTAAGCTCCCTCAGCTGTGCAGTCTATCGGCATGCTGCTGTCGTAGTATGTGCACGTGTAATGAAACTTAAGACATAAAAATGTAATATCATAAAATGGTCCTATTGTCACTGCTAACCGATCCAGCTAGTCAGAATGAGTGTATTATCAGTAAATGTGTATGCACATAGGACTTCACCCCGCACTGCTACCTGCACATTTCAATGTATATATACACACTTAACCTTGTCCATATCTTTATATGTACATTCACCTCATCGGAGTTTAACTCACTAAATGTTGAATTACTTTATTTTTATTGTTATTATCCGGTGTTTATTCTCATGTGTGTTTCATTCTTGTTCTGTTCCTGCTATTACACCTGAATTTCCCTTCGGGGATCGTTAAAGTACCATCTTATCTTAATGTATTATTGAAAACAAATCCATTGCGACAAAGTCCCGGGGTAAACTGAAATTCAAATATAACTACCACTTACTCTTTTGGGCCTGCACATGCCTCTAGAAATAAAGCTTTATTTGTTAATTCACCTCTTGTGATCAGTTTTCAAAGTCAATCCATCAAAGTTTATTTATATAGGCCAATATCACAAATGTACGTTTGTCTGAGCTTTATAGTTTATACAGATTAAGAATATGACACCCTCTGTCCCTCACAAGGAAAAACTCCCAAATAAACTCCACAGTTAATGGAGAAAAAAATAGAAGAAACCTTGGGTGTCGTGTGCAAACTAAAAAGCAAAAGTGAACAGAAAGGTATAAGTTATGGATGAATGTGTGTGAGAAGTAGTCCGTCAGCGCTGTACCTGAGGCAGTGGACGTGGAGGCCTGGTCGTCCTCGGGCTGGATGGTCTGTCGAAGCACTCGGTCGATCTCCATGACGTCCATGCACTGACTGAGCTCGTTCTTCAGCTCGGCCAGCCGCTGCTGCGTCGAGATCTTCTCTCTGGCCAGACGCTCCATCTCGTGCTCGTACTCCTTCTCCTTACGCTTCAGAGTCTTCCAGAGAGACACAGAAAGCAGATGAGATGAGAAATGATCACAAAAATCACTCAAAGACACTTCAAATAGACAATCACAGTATAAAGAAACCGTGATAGGAACATGGTTATAGAAACAAGCCTGTATTCAGCTGCAGTCTGAATAAACAAAGAAAGGCCAGACAATATAATTGACAATGGCTTTCAATATCATGCTAATTATTGTTATTGCTGCATGATATTGATTTCCACAGAATTATTGACCTTCATTGCTCTGAGTTTCTTATTAACAAAAAATACCGCCCTCAGTCATGTGGTTAGTTCTGATCAATACAACTTTGTTTTTTTCCCTTTGTATTATTAAGCTGCTGTTAATTAAGTTTGCAGAGGTAATAAAAGCTTGAGGGAATTAGAGGGATTATACCCCCTGAAATACTGAAACTGGGCACGAGTTATTAATATGAAACTGAAGGAGGAAGAGGGAGTTTGCATTAATGGCTCACACAGGCAACAGCAAATTAACACGGAAAAGAGGAGTAGATCATAAAACAGGAAAGAGGGCGATTCAATTTACAAAAACAGGAGGGGAAACGGAAGCCTGTTCCATCTGAGGCCAGCGTTACTACTAGAATAAAGCTTATGAAACGGTTAGGAAGCTAGTATTAATCTTAAATCATTCAAAGAACTGGCACTGTGACAGAAAAGGAATCTACTTTCTTTCTCTGTGCAGCCTTGGCCCCTCCCACATTTCTACCAGCTTGCACAATCCTGAAACAAAATGTTCCCTGTGCTCTGCACTTCATACAGCAACAGGAAGGCACGCATGCAAATTCAAGCATGTTCACACTGCTTTCATTGGTGTCATCAACCTAAGCTCCTCCCATTTCCTGGATATCACGCTTGTCTTTCCAAAAACAGGGTCAACTTGAAAATAAACATCCTTCCTTTTTCCATTTCCACAAATCACCTCAGTTCAAGATAATCCCACAATTCTGATATAGATGAATTACTGCAGCATGAACATTACAGTCACATAAGACTGAAGGAAAGTATGATTAGTGAGCTCAGACTTGTCACATGTTTCTGTAGTTTTACAAAATAAACTAGGAAGACAAACACAGCAGGAAATGCAGAAAAAAAAGACTAAACTGAAAGATTTGGGAAGAGCTTTTCCAGCTCCACCATGCCGTCTCTGTGACCCAGTTTCTGTGCGGGTCAGCTGACGCATGAACACCAAACAGTATGACGGGGGTAAGGACATTAACAGATTACTAGAGAGGAATGTGGGGGAGGAGGTAAAGGTACAGGGAGGGAAATGAGTAGGTGTAGAGGGGCATGGAGAGGGGGGAAAAGGAAGGGGCGATGCTTTTAACCAGAAACAGAAACCTGGTTTTTGCTGTGTCCGGCTGGTTATGTCATTACTACAAGTCGTATAAGGGCAATTTGGGTGAAAATAACATTTATTTTGTGATGGAATATTACTCCCCTCCCCTTACCGAGTTATATTTGTTTAAACTGCAATGGCCCAATAAGACAGTTGTTCATTTCAGTCAACTGAATATCAATCTTATTTAAATAGTAAACATATACAGTATATATATATATATATATTGAGAAAACATAGCGGAAACAGTTTCCTGTCCTACTGGCACAACCAAAAAGAGAAAGAAAAGATGCAAATACAGGAGAGAGAGGATATAAAATAAGCAAATGATTCTTCAACAGGACACTCCCTTCAGTGAATGAAGCCATTTACTTTCAGCAGGCATGTGACAGACTCGCATGCAGGCATGCTTTCCTCACTGCTACCGGCCCTGTTTGCTACAGTAACCAATCCAGACAGCTCACCATCTCTCATCTAACACCACACCCATCTATGTGCTTTAGAGTTCAGGAGTGAAGAGGAGGTAGATTTAGAAATGACTGCAAATCAGATCAAGAATTCACAAGAATAAAACACATTCAACTCATAAACTTACATGAGAAAAACTTGGAAAATCTGTGTTTTTCTGTCAGAGAACCACATCTCTTTATTTTGCATGGTGGGATCAACCGCATCACGACCCAAAGGCCACCTCCTGCCGTGCATCATGCCTCAGGTGGATGAATCGATCAAATTCACATTCACACTGACATCTGCATATACCTCCACTTCAGAATATCCTTACTGACACACTTGCGGTCACACGGTCAACAGATGTTCTTTGAAACAGACATCCTAGCTGAAGCCAGATACAGAGGAACCACCTCTGCTCCAGTGTGTGTGCGCATGTGCATCCATGAACATCAATTCAAGGTCTACAAAGCCAGACACCATTAAGGTTGCAGCAAATCACCAAGGAAACAGCTGTCACCCATAGCAGTTTCCTTGGCAACCTCCTCCATAAGGATTTGGCTTCTTGAGCAGCAGTTTGTAAAACAACATAAGGGGCCATCTAATTGGGTGGAGCAGAGAGGTAATCACATATAAGGAGAGCTGTGACTGGGTGGTTGCCCGTCTGGTGCTCCAGCTCACTCCCAACCCCCCCGTCTGCACTTCCATCGCACACCCCCTCTCCTTGTACTCCCACATCCATCGCTCCCTCGACACCCTTCCCCCTCCTCTTCCTCATCCTCTGCTTCATCTATGCCTCCTTTATCGTTCATCTAAAGAAACCATCTCTAGAACAAAAAGGTGAAAATGACACAAGTCTGATGACATTTGGCTGATCAGACATGCATCTGTGCCGACATGTGATCGTCACTAGGTTGATGTATGAATGTATAAGGAGTAAAGGGAATCTCTTTAAAACCTGGAAGCTGACCTCAATCACCAATACCCATCTATAAAAATAACCAGAATATGATTGGTTTAATTCTTTTCACACACACACCCTCACACTAGACAAACACGGAGGGATGGACCACAGTGCTCTTGCCACCTGCCGCCTGTTGCTATGGTTACCAAGTGACATCCAGGAGTCACAGGTCGAGACGGACAGAGAAGAAGAGATTAAAAAGGTTAAGACAGACGAGGGGCAAAAGACAGAGAAAATGTCTGAATGCAGCTGTGGCAGAAATCTGTACCTATTCCAGTTATAACCATGGTAACGCTGCTGCAGCCGGTACCTATCACCGTCTCTCTGCAGCCTCGAACGGTGACGTCACCGGGCTTGCAGTAGCCATGTGCTCAGATCTCACGTGGCACAGAGAGAGGGAGAGGCTGAGGTTTACATGAGGACAGGTACTGAGAGGGGAGGTGGGGGAAAGGGGGGAATCGCTTGTCTAAATAAAACCAACTGATTATATTATCAGAGGAGACGGTGGAGGGGAAATATGCAAAGCACAGACATTCAGCTAAAAAATGTAAGCACTTTGGCAGCTATGTTAGTGACTCTACGTAGAATCAAATTGTATTGATTGCAAAAGTCTGTAGTCCAAATGTAAGATTCAGTCCCTGCACCCGGTCTTTTAACCCACAAAATACTAAACTAAAATTAACTAAATGCAGGCGGGCAGCATGTGAGAGACATTATTTTGTTTTATGAAGAAATCCGAAATGTAAAAATTGTGTTTTTTGGTGATGCAGTGTTTTTAACATCTAAATCAGTGATATTGTAAAGCCTAATCTTTTTTGTGTGAAAGCCTGTCTGGCACTGTGCGTTCGCCATGCCAGACTCTGGCACCCAGTGCAGCCAATGAAAACGTAGTACTTTAAAGTGAGAGACTGTGCAGCAGCCTGCGTGTATGATCACGCTGCAGGATGCTCCAGGTTCATTTCACTTCGACACAAATAAGGCATCTTAGTTCACGTTTTACACGCGTGACACATTTCTTCTAATGTAATGAAGTTGAAGGAGAGAAACAAACATTGGGTTTCACATAAACTGATAGTATTTTTTACATAATTATCTTGCTGAATCTTTAAAATACAGAAAATAGAAAAACACCCTGATAAATTCCCTCGAACCACAGGGAGCAAGTTTTGAATCTAAAATATCCAATTTATAAATCACAAAGAATACAGCAATAACAAGAAAATCCTCACATTGCAGTAGCAGAAACTACATATTGACATTGATCATCATTACTGGGTTATCAAATTTGTTGTCGATTAACTTTCGGTCATTACATTAATATAGACAACTAATTGATTTATTGACCGAGTGATTCCGCACTACTACCGATAACAATTATGATGTTGGTATTTGTTTTTTCTTGTTTTCCTTTATTTAATATGGGAACTTCGAGCTAGTTGGGCAGTATGTAAAAAACCCTCATCAGCTCATGTCAAAGGCAAACCCCTGCATGTTGTTCCCGCTAAAGGATGTCTTATTTTGTCTTTTCCACAGACCCTCCTTTGCATATGTTCCACTGAACTCAAATCATGAAGCCTTTAAATCACAAAAAACAAACCACTAAATCTATCTGCAAATCATGTCAATGCAGAATCCTCACTCGTCTACTTTTAAGACTGAAAAATGTGGCTCTTCAGGCTACACAGATCCCTCCACCTCACCGCCCTCAGCAACACAATTCCAATTCTTTACACAACTACAATATGCCACAAATCTTTCCCCACAAATGTCCCACTTTGATCCTTTACAATGTGTTCATTATAGGGACAATAAGTTCCTTTTCTGTTATATACTTGGAAGACAATACATGACTACAGGATGGAGTTACATAACTTCCACTGGATAATAATCTCACTGAAATGCTTATTATGCAAAATGATGTTCTCAAGAAAAGCAAACTCTATGTGTAAAGTCTTACATTGTAAAAACTCAGGAACACGGGATTTATTCTCTGCTTTCTTCTAGTCTCATTTACCATATCACAGTCACAAGAGACTAAAAACACAAAGGTCTTAATGGCTATGAAACAGGTATTGTTGATCAATTACACTGAACAAAGCCTCCACAGAGCATAACCAATCAATTAAATACCAGAGAAAGAAACAAGAAGAAAGAAACAATAGGATGAAAAACAAGAAGTCAGTGCTACCTACAAATATTTAAAGTACAGCAACAGTATGTTAAGGCGCACAGCCTCACCATGCTGGGAAAGCAAGAACATGTTTTGAAACTCTACCTGTATGTAACGCAAAGCGCTGCGGAGAACGCTGAGGTTGGAGGTTTTCTTCTCGTCAACATTTGGAACGTTCTTCTTCAGGGTCTCGAAACAATCTTTGAGGTGCGCTCGCCTGAAGGGCCAAGAGTCAGAAACGAGAAAGGGTCAAACTTATGATACGTGTGTCTTTAGCTTACTGTCTTGGAGAATATTCGCCAGTCATTAGTAAGTCCATCATTTGCACAAGAGATTAACCACGTTTTAGTTATTTAAGGAGACCTCATGATCCAAAAGTTGCACGTTTGAGAAGGATTCAGTTGAGGAAATGCTATGTGTTTGGCTGCTAACATTTTATATAACTTTGTGAGTATGTAGTGGTCAAGGTAAGAAAAAACAGGGCTTCTTTTCATAATGTCATGTTGATTTGATACTAACTAAACTATGAGAAGTTTAATATGACAAACCTGTTCTTCTCCAGTTTGTTATGCACCTCTCTGGTCCCAGCTCTGAAAACACAAAATAAAATATTTTTAAATAAAAAGGTTTAACCAACCAACACACTTAAATCAACTTTACCAGACACACACAGACTTACCCCCCTGGTCTCCTCTTCCCTTCCAGCCCCCTCAGGTCCTCCAGTACTCCATTAGACCGTGGCTGAGATGAAGGTGGAGATTGATGGGGAACCAGTGCATGTTGAGAACCGGAGCCATTAGTGCTGATGGAGGTTGTGTACTGAATCTGAATCTGAGGTTGTGATTGGCTGGGCTGAGCACCAATCATCTGCGGACTACTCTCTACCTTTATCAGGGGACTAGATTCTACCTTTATCAGGGGACAAGTCTCTACCTTTATCAGGGGACAAGTCTCTACCTTTATCAGGGGACAAGTCTCTACCTTAATCAGGGGACACGTCTCTACCTGTAACTGTGGACTAGTCTCTACTTTTATGTGGGGGGGGCACAACAGGTGAGGAGAGGTGGGATGGGGATGATGATGCTGCTGCTGTGGAGGAAAGGAAAGGTTCTTGGCTGGTGGCGAGCCATTGAGCGACGTTGCAATCTGCGCTGTGAAATTAATGGGCGGGGCCGAGTGTGTGGTAGTGACAACTGGGACCATTGGTATGACTGTGATGGGGACTTGGGTAGATGGGAGAGGGGGGGGCGGGGGTGCAGGGTGGTGATACGGCTGTTGGCGATGAGTGTCATTTCCCCAAGTGACGTGATTGGCTCTGATTGGCTGAGACAACGAGGTCACGAGTTCCACGCGCATAGACTCCGCCTCCCTGTTGATGAGCTGCTTCTCTTTGCGCTGCTCCTCCTCTGTGGAAAGCAGGAAAAAGAGAAGCAGAAAAATAAGTGAGCAGTGGGGGATAATGGATAACACCAAAAGATGTAGGGGGACAAGAGGATAAGAGTGGACGAGAGTCAAATGTACATAAGGGGCAGACCAATTGAAAGACATTTGAGATATTACGGACACCCTATATATCAATATAAGGTCCAATAGGCACGACACAATACATGTATTCTTCACTTGTTAGCTCACATCCTGGTTTATTGAACAATCTTCTCAATGGAGCAATGTCTGCATCTCTAATGCTGTTACGTGCATCACCTCTACTTTTCACTTAGTTAACATATGTTGTTTGCCATTAAAAACAGTCCTGTGGTTGAACCTGAACCAGTATGGGAAACCTGCTCTTGGTTCAGATGATAGATAAACTGGACTATTGCCTTAACAAAAAGAGATGCAAAGACACACGCAAATCATTCTAAAAATTTGTCAACCTAAATCCAACAAATGATTAAAGTTTCCTTCAGGTACTTTTTAATTGTTGTGCTACAAATCACTTATTCAGAGAGGAAGTCACTTTGGTGTTATATTCATCCCAACACTACGTGCACTACTCTACACAAAAAGAATGATGTCATCACAGATTCTTATTGTGCGGAGGGGAACATAATCACAGAAATCATGTCTGCATCCGTTTCCTGACTGGAAAGAGACCCCCCCACCCATCTGTGAATGGACCGTCCCCGCACCGAGCAGCTGAGTTACGTCAGGACCATCATGACCACATGAAGCATCGCTGAATTGCAAACAGAAACACACCAACAAAATGTTTTGAATCACATCGTGGGACAGGAATGTTCCCACGCTGTGCTTATGTAAAGTATGCAGACGCAAACACCGTAAGTGTTAAGTGAGCAGTTATTGCACACCACACCGGGAAGACTCAAAGCAATGTGGAAAGCCCTCTGTTTCCATGGAAACAGCCACATTAGACAGAGAAGATCCCAGGGATTCCTCTGACATGCAACACACAGCTCAGCCATTATCAGAGAAAATAGAAACACCACATCCCAACAGTGCTGGCTGCCTGTTAAGTAACACTTTTGTTTCTTCTCCACATGAAACTGCAGATCCTGATGATGCAATGTTCCCTCAGAATAGTGCACTTCAGGACGGCCTGTACAGGTTAATGCGATGATGTGCAATACAAACTATTTTGCTGCACTATTGGAATAGTGTGTTCCCTTAATGTACCAAAAGTAAGAGTACTCATTCTGCAGATTGTTGATAACGTATATCATGTTGATTATAATGATTGATGCATGAATGTGTTACCAAAGCTGGTAAAGGTGCAGCTCGTTTTAATTGCTGCAGGGTAGCTTGTGAATGTGATGTCAGATTATATTTTCCATCATTAATACAAATCTGCAAAGTAACTAGGTATTAAATACATGTAGTGGAGTAAAAGTACACCATATACCTTTGAATTGTAGTGCGGTAGAAGTACAAAGTAGCATAAACTGCAAATACTCAAGTACAAGTTACTCAAAGATCTTACTTGAGTACAGTACTCGAGTAAATGTACTTAGTAACTTTACACCATTGCTGATGGCATATGATGGCACGCTTGACATGTTGCTTGAGATTTTGTAGTACAACCATCACGCCATGCCGAATATTGTTAAGTGCACGCGGGGGTAAATTACGTAACTTCTGCTTTGAAAGGCTGGGTTGGGATGGGGGGGTGAGCAGGAAGGCTGCCCTACTTACCCCCCTTTCTCTTTCTGACCCGCCACTGTCAGTACACTGAATGGGTAGGGCGGGGACGATGAGTGTGTGTGTAGTGTGTATCCTCGGAGGGGGGGGTCAGTGTGCACGTGGTCGTTGTGGGCGGATTCTAGCACGCGGTAGGGTAAGTATGCGGGGGGAGGGGGTTGAGTTGTCTGACACGTCATCATAGGGGAGAAACACAAAAAGCAACCCTGCTCGTCTAGCTTTTTACTAAGTCACTGATTATTATGTCGATTGACAACTCGCATGTGTGTGTGTAATAAGTGTTTGGAAACATGAACACAAATGTTAATGCTGGCGTGCAGAGATACAAAAAGGGAAGGGTGAGTGTGTGAGGGCCCGCCCAAGTGTGTGTCATAAGATAGCTCAGCAATGTCAGGGTATTATGTAAAGACACCGCCCTGCCGGTGCTCGATGGACAAAACACGGGCAAATACATTTTGCAAGGGCTCTATTAACATATATGTGAAGCTTCGATGAAGAGAATCACTCCATTTGAAATATATTTAAAACCTATGTGTTTTAGCTTAAGTGAAGTATACTGCACACTCTACAGTTAGTTACTTTATAACAAAGATACAACATGTAAATGGTTCGGTTACTTACAGGAACTCCTCTGCTAAGCCCCATCACACTCTCACACACATAGATGTATGGTGAGTCACTACAGTGTTGAAACTGTCACACACACACATCAAGTGCGCGTAAAGTAGTTCCGAGACAACTTTGACTTGTTTCCGCATTAAGGTGAGACAAATGTGTGCAACAATTAATGAGTCGGGGACAGCAGAGAGTTTGCAGAGACTTCAGTCGTCTTTTTTTGGCATGAACCCAGATAAACACAAACTACAAACGCGTGCGTTCATCATAGGCGGGTCTGATGAAAATGCAAGCCCAGTCGCTGATAGTAACGGGATACGGCCCCCCGAAAAGGCAGTTTCGGCTGTGTTATTTGTCCTTATGTAGGTTCAGCACCATGCACCAGTCTGCTCTTGGACTCACCACGTGTGATCTGTTGTTGTTGGGCTTGCCATTCCAGATATCTGGCCGCCTCCAAAAGTGTATCGATGCTCATTGCGCGTAAAACCCTCTCGGCAGGCGACCCGGTGGCCCGGGACGGAAGGAGGAAAAAGACCGAGGAGGGGCAGGCAGTTTCCCGGTAAGAAGCGCCGTGTGCACGGTTCACACCCGCAGGCCCGAGATCCCCGTGCCCAGTGATTCTCCTGAGAGCAAACGGTCGATTTTTAATCCGACCGAACGGAAAGTAGATCCTCGCATACGTAAAAAATTGGATTGCAACAAGATGGCGATGCGAGCACGGGAATACACACAACAAGGCGAGTCGTGTTCTCGTTAAGGTCCGCCCACCGGATTGCTGCCCCGCCCTGTTACTACGGCCGCCCGCAAAACCCGGTGACCGCATCACTCCATCCTGCTCCGCGGTGATGTCAACAGATATACCTACCGAACAGTGGTGGGATAAGTAGGCTACTCGGCTTCTTTACTTGAGTATAAGTACCAATACATTACTGTCCAAGTGCTTCAGTCTCGCATTCAAAATCTTACTTAATTAAAAGTACAAAAGTATCAGAAAATGTACTTAAAGTATAAAAAGTACAATAAATAATTGTACATTTCTAGATAATATTGTGGCATCAAATAGCATTTTACTGTTGTAGACAAACACAATTCTGATAAAATAGTTTAAAATAATTTGACTAATTTGTGACTTAATGAATCCATTAGTTTATTATATTTGGAAATGCATTTTGATAAAAAATACCTAAAGCTGTTAAATAAAGGTAGTGGAGTTAAATAAGATGATTTCCCTTTTAAATGTAGTGAAGTATAAAGAAGTAAAAAGTAGCATGAAATGGAAATACTCAAGAAAAGTACCTCAACATTTTTACTGAAGTACAGTACTTGAGTAAATGTACTTAGTATAGTTCCTTCCCACGCCTGCTCCCAAATGTTACTATTAGAGAAAAACGTGCACAGTGACAGTGTACTCTCCTGGCTCTATGAACCTGGTGTGAACCGATAAGGTGAAGTCCCGTCCAGGTCATCAGTCCGCCATGTTTTCCTTCTCGCCGCTGGCCCGCAGCGCATGAAGAACAATCAGGTGCCAGCCAGCCAATCAGCGCTCAGAACAACAAGGCATGGTGCTGGTCCACATGGGCGCCCGCCCGGCCCGAGCGCGGCTCATTTGCATGGTGAGAGCGTGACTGGCCACCCTGCTGTCTCGGGATCAGACCTGTCAATCAAACCAGGAGGGGCGGGGTTTACTACTGTCTGGGTGTAAAACCTAGCACAACATACAAATGATGATTAACTTGACAACAGAGGTGGGAGAAGTACTCTGATCTTGTACTTAAGTAAAAGTATAAGTACCAGAGTGTAGGAAAAGTCTGTTACAAGTAAAAGTCTTGTGGATTTCATTGTTGATTATATTTCACATCATTAATCTAAATCTGCAAAGTAATTAAAGGTATTAAATAAATGTAGTGGAGTGGAAGTACAAAGTGAATTGTCAACTTGTTAAAGTATGATAAATATTTGCAGATTTCTTTTTTATTTCCCACTCACACCCACTGTTTATGTCACACTCACTGAGATAATGATATGCATCACAAGGATGTAATTATCCCCATATGGTGTGGTTGTATGGTGCATGTTGGTCTAATTTTTAAGTTGCACATTTAGTATTGTATGCTGTGACTAATGTTGGCTGTGACACAGGATACGATGCAACAGCAGTGCTCGCATATGCAATATATCTCCCTCAGGGGAAAACTACATCTTATTGTAGTGTTATGATGAATGTTTGGTGTTTCAGTGTTGTATTTGTCTTGTACTGTACACAGATGCATGTATGGAGAGTATGTGTTGTTGCATGGTAACAGACTTTGATTGGACATGAATCAGTGTTCTATATCCTTTACCACATCACAGGGTCTGCACCAATCAAAACAGCAGCTCAGGGGTATCAAAGAGCTGCCTCCAACGCGACATGTGCTCTGCCTGCACATACAAACCAGTACCCTCCAGACTGTCAAGCCAGAAAGGAGCTTGTAAGATTTGTATGAAAAAAAGAAGAACAAAAACCAACTCAAGATAATCGTAAAACGAATGCATGTGTGTCACTTTGCAACAGGCTGTATAGAAGGATGCAATACAGAAAATGATTCAGGTGAAAAAAGGGGGAGCTAGCTGATGCACATGGTAAGCACATGAGCTGCATGAAAAAAAAGTCCATAGGGATGTTATGCATAATATACAGAGGAAAAAGGGGAGGAAGAGGAGGGGGAGGGGACCGCATGGAGAGACTGGGCTGACCCAGTTAGAAGTGCTGCATCACTAGTGGATCTACAGAGGAGAGATCAAAAGGAAGCAATGCAACACAAGACACTTTAAACGGAGAAAGTGAGCACATATCAGACAGACTTAGCAATGAGTGTGTGGAGTCACAGGCATCGGAGGGAGAATGACAAAACAAAACCTTAACTGTTTGGTTTTGAAATAAAGATATGAACATGAGGATTTGTTGCTTCTATTTAATTTGATGCATGTGCAAAACAATACAATGAAAAGAGTGCCTCTCACAAAGAGGCAGATCATAAACTACAATAAAGTTGGTAACTTCCAATCACCTCTTTCTTTGGTCTACATCCTTGGGTAAAAAAAAGTTGAAGTTGAAATGTGAACTTTTAAAATATTTATAAATGATCAGATCTTACATAAATTCTGGTGTTGAACATTTGGGACAAAATAATTGTTCTTGCCTAAATTACAACCCTAGTCCAAGAGTCAAATAGAAATGTCATCACATTAATGAGGTTATTCATTATTGTGAAGACATAGTGAAATGACGAATAAATGTTTATTATATTTTCCATGACATCCATGTGTCCACTGTTCACTCCACACAGTGCAGGAAGCAGCAGGTTGTGTCCTTATAGGGACATGTACCTCTCACACAGGCTGCCACTAGAGGGCGCCACATCCTGTAACACACCTCGCCCAAAGCTGCTCCAAACCTCCCCATCATCCTCCTCAGGCTTTCCAGGGATTAAAACGCTAGTCACGTAAACTATAGTGGGACTCACGTAAAATATACTAGGATGACACACAAACCTACATATTAACGCAGAGCCTGCAGATATCTTTTCCTCGGTCTGCACTACTAGTAGCTGGTTGCATATATGCTAATTAAATTCCAGCCTGCAGTATAAAATAGTTCAATCCTCTCTGAGAGGATCAATGCTGCTGCGTCTCACTGACAGGCCTGCTGTATAAACTGACCTTGAAACCTCTAAACACCTTCATATCATGCCAGTTTATCAGAATCAATGCTGGCTCTTATCTCTCTGCTGCTCCTCTCACGTTGTCTCTTTGCTAAACATCTGTATCAATAACAGTTTTGTTAGATGGAGAGAAATGGGTGACCTAGATACAAAATAAATGTGAGCTTCTTCTTTTTTCCCCTTTTGAATTTTTATAGCTTGCATGAGGGGAAAGCGTGTGCCAGGCATGAGTGGTGGCCGCCGGATGTAGGCCAATGTTTCTACTCTACTGCCTCTGTTGGGAAACAGGAGTTTCAGACAGGTTTATTACCCTTTCATTTGGTCCCATGAAACCCTTCTTACTTCTCTGCTCGTCTAGCTCAGCAGTCCACAAGGCTTTAATCCTGTCACCAGTTTTTAAATCACAAAATGTTGCTGTAATAACTTTCCTTCTGCATTTGTCATCACTCCACCACTCCCAGATTCTCCACACTTAAACCTGCAGGACGGAGCAAGGTGTGGTGCTTGCACGTTTGACATCCTGGCAACAGTTGCCAGGATACAGCACGGCACAGAGAAAGTCATTGCTGTGTGGGTGAGTGAGCAGGTGCGTGTGTGAGCACAGTAGGCTGGGGTACCGTACATAATTGATAGAGGTCTGATCTGTCCCTGCTGCCTCATGTCTGTGCCTCTCCAGTCTGAGCCTGCTGTGGAATAACTGGGCTGTACCTGAGGAATACATGTCAAAATGTATTACCCGTTCCCTCTACATCACAATTATCAACTTCATCCTCCCAAATCATCTTTCATTTACAAAACAGAAAACTACCACTAGGTCAGGACTGATCTATGCCTTTATCTAAACCAATAACAGCTTCTGATCGATCACTCATCCTGTGAGGGATTTGAATCATTAACGATTATAAATTATTTATCCAAGAGTGTGCTCACTTCTTCCAAAACATGAATTTCAAGTAAAACCTTTTTATTTCCAACACTTCAGAAGAAACATCCACACTGCTGTTTTGGGGTGTAGTATTCCTTTAAAATGCTAAGAGGCCACAGTGTAGCACCAGACCAAAATATGTGCAGCAGAGCCAGTTATGCATAAATAATATTCACCGTCTAGAGCAGCAGCTTTCACATTTTAGTGAAGTGACCTATTTCTTTTTAAAAGCTTCACTCTGATTTAAACTTATCAGATCCTTGTGGGCCGCAGGCTGTCACTGGTTGTCATGCCCCAAAAATATTGAACATTTAGTACCATCAGCTCTTAAAAGTGCAACAAAATCTATTATTTACAGAGACACTGATTGAAGCGTTGAGAATATGCCTAAAGCTAAAAGCAAAATAGAATAGTTAGACTGTTGGAGCACCTTTCTTCTAATGTGGGATGAACTGAAGAGCTGCAGTATCTGACCTCACTCTGCGAAGTTTGCTTCATCTCCTTTTACCTCCTTTCCTCAAAAGAAAGCATACACATAGATAACTTATATTTACAGAATTTTATTTCATTATGTTGCAAACAATGACATCCAGATATATTGATACACAACTTTTACTGTGCGTGTATGTGCATTTGTGAGTGTATGTGTGTAAAGAGAGCAGTGAGACCACAGAAAGCAGAATGAAAATCCCGTGTGAGGGAGCTCTCAATGGGTTAACAAGGCAGAGATAGCGAGCAAGAGGGCACTGGGCGATTCTCTGGGGCGACATACACACACACACACAAACCTCATAAAAGGTGAGCAGACTTTTTCCTCTGTAAAACACACTTTTGCTATGGGCCGTGTGTCTGTGCTCTCAGCAGCTTAGGGGATCATTAAGGTCCTGTGAGTGTCTACTAGAAAGCAATTTTGTTAAAAGAGATGAAGTAGTATGAATGAACACAGTGGGTGAGAAGCTTTGCCTCCTCCCTCTCCTCTGAGCGGCAGAGCAGAGACAGCAGAGAGGTTCTCCTGTCATAATATACAAACACACACACTCACACAATGTATACACACATGTACACGTGCACTCGCCCACAGAACCTCGTGTGATTCAACTTAGGGAGCTGCTTCCTGCTTCATTTTTTTCTTCCACTTGTCATCATCTTCTCCTGGACAGCTTCCACTCATT